CAGATTTTACCATATAATGCTGGTGAAGCCATGCCCAAGATAACGAAAAAACGAACTGTAACTACAAACAAAAATCATACATTATCAGAATTTTTGCCACGTTTGGTTCCGGTACAAGCATCAAAATGGCATCGTCACAGAATTTTATTGTAGAACCTGCCAAATGTTAGTTGACAGAATCAAACTTCTAAAAGAATACAGACAAGATTTTGTGATAGGTTCCACTGTCATGCTACATCCAAATGCCATAAATCATATTTATTTATTGTATCGTTATTTTGTCGTAAGCAAACGATGACAAAGTTTGCCGGTGCAGACAAGGATGACAATGGGAGAGATTATGAATGTGTTGATACTGACGACAGCCACATAGTCCGTGAAAATGGTAGCAACACAAGCATCAAGCATAAACAAACCAGGACCCAATCAGAGGACGCTACAGGATTGTTTCTTTGGAGAAGATGAAAAACTAGCTGATCAAATTGCCAAGAAATTCGAGATAGCTTATTTTGTTGTCAAACATGAACTTCCATTTACCTTATATGAAAACATAATTAATCTTGAACTTAGACATGGTGTTGACCTTGGAGTGTCATATAATAACAGAATACAATGTGCTGAATTTGTTGACTTTCATGGACAACATCTTGTTGAAACGTTGACAACAGATCTTAAGAAGGCAAAATTTTTCGGTGTTTTAACGGATGGATCCACAGATTCTAGTGTTACTGAGAAAGAAGTGATCTATGTTCTCTATTTCTTACCTGAACATGGTGGAGATAAAGTGGAAGCCAAATTAAGTTTTGTTTACCTCAAGGATGTTAAAAAGGCTGATGCATTCTGCTATAGAAAAATGTTTTCAAAGAATCGGTATTGACAAAATTCTATTCAAAGTTGATTGGTTTTGGTGCTGAAGGGGCAATGGTAAATGGAGGTGATAAGGCTGGTGTGAAAGCTTTGTTGTGAAAAATCCCCTTAGATGATTTATGTATGGTGTGTTGCTCATCGGTTGGAATTAGCATTGAAAACTGCAATGAAAGAAACTTATTTTAAAGAAGTAGATGAAATGCTGTTGAGGATTTTCTACCTGTATCAAAAATCACCAAAAAAACTTTCTGAATTGAAAGACTTAGTTGATATTTTGAAACAGGAGAATCAGAACACCTTTGAAGAAGGTGGTTTTAAACCAAAGCGTGCTAGTGGAACACGGTAGATTTCTTACAACTTGGCTGCTTTGAGGATAATTTTTGATAAGTATGGTGTATATATACAGCATTTAGAGAATCTTGCAAGTGACTGGTCAACAAGTTCCAAAGATAAAAACAAATTAACTGGATACCAGAGAAAATGGAAGACTCCAAAAATGCTTTTGAATACAGCACTTTTCATTGACCTGTTGTTACCTGTTTCTTTGTTATCAAAGGCTTTTCAAAATGAAGAAATTGACATTGTTTCTTGTCTAAATTCTTTAGAAGCAACTAAAGAGAAAATGACAAAATTAGCCAGAAAACCATTAGCTGAGATGCCTAGCTTAAAACACTTAAAGTCCAAACTGATACAATTAGAAAATTGTTTTGAGTAGCAAAGTGTAAAATTTGATGAAAGTGTGTGTAAAAATGTGTTAAAAAAACTGTCTCATGATAAAGCTGAACTGATTGACCTGATAATTTTTAATTTGAAAGAAAGGTTGGAAGATGATGACAGTGAACCTCTAAGAAAAGTGGCTAAGATTTTGAATACCCTCTTTTAGAGCACTATTTAATTTTAGTGTCTAGTGGAATTGACATTCCTCCACAGGAAATTTTAGAGGAATGGCATGAACTCGTATTATTTGCATTAAAATATCTTAATCCTGTACATAATGAATATAAAAAAACATGGAGAGTCATTTTTTCAAATGGTGCAATTACTTTTCTGCATTCCAGTTAGTAATGCTAAGCTTGAGAGAATGTTCTCCAAACTTAAAAGAACAAAACCAATAATCATTGCTCCTTAAAAGAGGACAGAGTCTGCAATTTATTAAGGATAGCCGAATAAGGTCCTGAATCCATCGAAGTCAAACCAATTGTAAAAAAATGGATACAAGCTAAGGCCAGACGCCCTGTTCAGAAAAAAAGATTACAGTATCAATCTAGAAGAAACAAGAAATTAAAATATTATGAAGCAGAGCACAGTTCATTCTCATCGTTCACTCAACCATTTGAAGAGGGTTCCAGTTCAGACATAACTGGTACAAGTAATGATGAAAGTCATGCCCAAGCTGATCACTGTCAATGGTTTATGGAAAATATTGACAAAACTTTAAAGTGACATTCGGCTTTTTGGAAAAAAAGTCTACATGATCAAAAGTGTAATATGTGTTACGTTAAGTTATGTAATGTTATTAAATATTTTGAGAGTTGAAAAAATTAACAGCTGAATTTTTTTTTCAGTTAAAACTTTCAGATACGTTAAAGGGCACATATTTCTAGATTTTGGTGTATGGTATTCACAAAGTTGAGCAAAAATAAATTTTGACCTAGAATAAGAACAGACTGTCCCTTTAATGAAAGGGTCACACACCCTAAGAAAGAATAAAAGAGCGCGTTCACTATCCATTCGACCAATCAGATCCTGGTATTTTTTAGACAAGATAATTAGTGTTTCCCTGTGTATTCATTATTTACAGCGTTTGAAAGTAAAAAATACAACTTGTATTTTAGTGAGACAATGCTTTTTAAGTAGAAAACACTATGCAGAGAATGAAAAATAAATATTTAGGTAGGGTATAGTTGAATGTAAAAAAACATTTAAAACAACTAGCCAATTTTTAGAAGACACAAGAATGTTTTTATAGCCTATATAAACAATTAGCATGCTATACCAAGTAATTTTCAGTCTTCTAATATTTGACTGGCACACTTTGACTTTTGATTGGCAAGGTGTACCCTTTGCCAGTCATATTGACTGGCACACCCAAGATCCTTATTTACAGGCTTGCCATGACTTTTGTTGACCGTCTCCTTTTCAATGCCGAAGGTCATTGACGTTGGCTATCTTCTGATACTTTCATTTGGTCTGTCTACTTCCGGTATAAACTTCTCAACTTTAGACTGTTCTTGCGCGTGATGTAATTGTCGTAGAAGTTTGATTTTTTCAGAGTCTTTTGCAATTTGCTACATTTGCAAAGTCCCACTCTGTGCCACGTGTGGCTCTAGTTTTTTTTTTTTCCCGATTCTGGTCACAGCACCCAGCCAAAACTGCATATGTCACACATTAACTGACATCATTATCTGTCATTAAGTGTGTGTCGTTGTTGTTTAAATGTAATATGACTCATTTTGGCCAACCGGAAATGACGTAGGACGTAGCCAATCATAACGTCTTTCGAATTACTGTTCCAATTCTGAATCTATTTTTGATCGAAATTTTTGTTTTGTTCATTGCTTTTTAGTAATGGCTAAAGGATAGCACTTTCAAAAATTTCAGATTTTGACTTTTGTCGCTTTTTCTTTTAATAATAACGTTTTTTACAACTTTTACAATTTTCTTTCAATCGATCTGAAAATTTACGAGTTGATAGACATTTTGATTGCGAACAAAAACCTGATCTCAAAATTTCTGTATCACTCCTGCTATCGACGTCATTCGCTCTTAAAGTTGAAATTGCGACTTCCGGAATTTTATAGATATTTGAAAAATTCTTTTTGCAACATGCTTGAATTTTTTATATCAAAGATTTAAAATGATAAAATTCGCCCGTAAGTATTAGATCAGCCACCATCTTGATGTGACTAAAATGTATATAAAAGTACTTTTTGGGATCAAGGTTTCATCGGATTTGTATTATTTTAATGTCTATATTATCAGTGAATGATTCCTAACAATCGTGTGGTAGCTGATTTTTGATTTTGCTTTTTAGTTATTTCCGGTTGTTTTTTTTTAATAAATTTTAAAGCTCATATCTCGCGACCTTGACCTTTGGTGACCTTATGACACAAAAGCCATTTGAAAATCGCGATTTTTAAGTTTGAAGATCTCTGTCACGTGACCTAATTAACACACGACAAAATTTCTTATATATTCTTAAATTGCATGAGGTCTCCTATTTGGTGATATATCACACTTGATATTTTAATCAAAAATTTTGTACCGACTTCTATACTGTGCGTAAATTCATGTTGTCTATATTCCACTGACAGTCACCGTTGCCTAAAAAAACCTTTTAACTACGAATATCTCATGATCTAATGATTGTAAACACTTGAAATTTTGAACATTATTGTACACATTATTAGAGACAAAACAAAATTTTTGAAGTGGGCATGGCAAATCCGGGTTACTTTTACCTTTAACTTAAATATTTGAAATTTTTATAACTCGCAAAGTTTGCATTTGTCAACATCAACATTTTGCATAAAAATAAAACACTACTTATGACAATCAATGATAAAGTTGCATTTGTTTGGGCCTTTTACTTTAAAAAAGGGGAAAGGTTTTATAATTTATAAAATTTTGATATTTTCAACATTGACATGCATGACCTCGATCTTTGCAATGTCAAAGGTCATTGATCTATGATGCCTATTCATATTTTTATCTTTGATGACTGACATCCCAAAACAGCAATTTTCAACACTTTTAAGGCTTATATCTCTTTGTTGACCTCTTATTGTGCTTGACAAGACCTTTCAAAAAATATTTTCATTTTTGTTGTGCGATTTGTACTCTAACTTTACAGCTATTTGAAAATTCGACTTTCTACTACTGAATGTTAACATCATCTAGTACCGAAGGGTATCAAATTCATTTGTCTCTTCACTACCGAAAGTTGAACGGTTTAAACAATATTTTTAATATTTAAAGTTTACATGCTTTTCTTTTCATTAAGAAATCCCATTGTGACTTTAAAATGCAACGTTTCACCGATGTATCAGATTGGATGCGAACTGTTTTGGTACCATGGCACCGCTCTAGTTTATGCTTGAAATCAATAAAATAATCAAATTTATTTTACTTACAATTACAGTGATGCCTTGTTCTTTGCAAAATGTAGACAGTGTAGTGAAAGATATAGACACTAATAACCAGAAAATAGATAGATTCTCAGGACGGAAACTGATACCACTGTGAGCTGAAAATAAACAAATAGAATTATACACTAGAACAGAACACACGAAGGGACTATCCGACGTGATACATCGGTGAACTGTTGCATATTAAATCACAGTGGTATTTTTTACTGAAATGAAAAGCATAGTAGTAAAAAGTCGGTAAACCATTTAATGCTCGGTAGTGAAAAGCATAAATCAAATAAAATTCAGTTGTAAAAGGAGTTGATTTTGTAGTAAAAAGTTGATTTTCTGTAAAAACCAACAAAAAATGGAGATATATTTTTATTTATATATAAAGAATAATATTTGTTCTGGTCAAAAAGTCAACTAAAGTCAAATTAAAGAGATATAAGCCTTTAAACTTTTGAAAATTTATATGTTGAAACTTGGAGTGAGTGCCCTTGCTTTTAAAAAGCTCGTAAACACTCTAGAATGTGCAATTCTTGACGGATTTAGATGAAATTTGGTGTTAGTGTTTGTTATCACCCAGAATAAACCCTGTTGAAAATCAGAAAAATCGAAAAATAATTAGTAAGAGTTGTTGCCCTTGTTCTTGAAAACGCGTTCAATTCTATATTGTAAACACTCTAGAACGTTCAATTATTGCAGCCATTGGACATATATTACCTTGCCTGGCAAACTATCTTTACAAATAGAAACCTCTACGAGGTTGATATTATAAATAATCAGAGGCCGAACAGCTGAGGGTTATTTCTAATATTTAACCGAGGGCAAGAGGGTAAAAGTTTACACACATTTAATCAGATAATTTCATCATCCCTATAATCCACAATGAACTCTTTCATATCATCCCATGTTGGTTGAGGTGTTGTTTATTCACTGAATACTAATTTGCACGTGAAGAATAATAACATGTGACAAAGTTCAAACAATAAGAACATGCAGTCAACAATAAATGACTCAGATGCAGAATTAATTATTGCACGACAAATTATAGAAAATACTATACTTCCTTCTAATTACGTCCATTTAAAGTGCATAATTTTTGGATTATTACAAAACAGACAATTGTTTTTAAAATCAAAGGATTAAGGTAGGGTTTAAAACGGTTATATTTTCAAATATTTTAATTTTCATTGGTGCACTACATGTCCCGCTGTCACTGAAATACTATCTCTCAAGATTTCGCTAACTGTGTTAATGCTACATGCTCCTTTTTTGCGAAGCTTTACTGATAGTTCTTCAGCATGAATATTATTCTGACATAAAGCAGATACATCCTCTTCAATTTTTATACGCCCCCATGAAATATTGTATATTGCCGTCACCCACATCCGTCCGTCCACAATTGCTCGTAAACACTCTAAAAGACACAATTCTTGACGGATTTTGACAAAACTTGGTATGAGTGTTCGTAATCGCCCAAGGATGAACCCTATTGAAAATCAGATAAATCAAAAAAATATTTAGTATGAGTTATTACCCTTGGTCTTGAAAACACTTTCAAATTGTAGCTCTTAAACACTAAAAGGCATGATTCTTGCCGGAAATTGATAAAACTTGGTTTTATTATTCAGTACGGGAACTAGCCAAAATCTTCCTGGGTACTAATTTACACTTACTCTAGTTTAGTTAACAGTGAGTTACCACAGCAAATGCGGTTTTTGACTCCTTTTATAATCTTTAGTAATTAACTGCGATTAACCGGATAACAAACGGTTATTGCCGACAATTACCTGGTTCGTAAAATTCACTAACCGTTTCAACACTATCAATATTATTCAGTATCGCCCTAAAGATTTCAAAAGAAGTGTGTGACTGAAGGTTGAATATTTCATACTGGTGATTGTTACTGTACTGAAAGCTATCTTAATTACTATATATGAAAAGTACAACAATTTGAAAAATCAATGTTTATGTCATCGTTGTATTTCTGTATTTTTCAACAACAAAAAAAATGGGTCTTCTACAGTTTACTTTTAGACAAAGGGCAAAGGAATCTTTTCTTTATGGATCATTGGAATCGGGAATTGCTGTTGAGTAAATATCCCTTTATTAATTCATTTTGAAGTCAATTCATTTGCAAAAGCTTGCTAGGCAAGGTAATTTACCCCCACTGGCAGCTTTGATTTTGAATAAAAATATTTAGCAGTACAGTAACAACCACCAGTATGAAATATTCAACCTTCAGTCATACACTTCTTTTGAACTCTTTAGGGCGATACTGAATAATATTGAGTATGAGTTATTGCCCATGTTCTTGAAAACATATTCAATTTTTAGCTTGTGAAAACTCTAGAAGGCAAATACTCAATCTTCAGCTCGGTACTGAAAAATAAAACCAAGTTTTGTCAAATTCCGGCAAGAATCATGCCTTGACGGATTTCTTGACGGATTTTAACGAAACTTGGCATGTGTGTTGGTTATCACCCAAGGATGAACCCTATTGAAAATCAGAAGAATCTTAAAAAATATTGGGTATGAGTTACTGCCCTTATTATTGAAAATGCGTTCAATTTTTAGCTTGTAAACACTCTAGAAGGCACAATTCTTGACAGATTTTAACGAAATTTGGCTTGAGTGTTTGTTATCACCCATGGATAAAGCCTATCGAAAATCAGAAAAATTGAAAAATATTTAGTATGAGTTATTGCCCTTGATCTTGAAAACTAATTCAATTTGTAGCTCATATAAACTCTAGAAGGCCATGATTCTTGCCGAATTTTGACTAAATTTAGTTTTATTATTCATTGCCGCGCTGAAGATTGAATATTTGTCTTCTAGAGTTTTCACGAGCTAAAGATTGAACATGTTTTCAAGAACTAGGGCAATAACTCATACTCAATATTATTCAGTATCGCCCTAAACAGTTCAAAAGAAGTGTATGACTGAAGGTTGAATATTTCATATTGGTGATTGTTACTGTACTACTGAATATTTATGTTCAAAATCAAAGCTGCCAGTGGGCGTATATTACCTTGCCTGGCAAGCTATTTTTAATAGGGTTCATCCTTGGGTGATTACGAACACTCATACCAAGTTTTGTGAAAATTTTGTTTTTTCATAAGAGGACGTACGCTGTTTAGTAACTTGCTTTTGTTTAGTAAGTTGCTTTTATACGCGGTTTTGATTTCAAAATTATTTAATTAATAAGGCTGTAAAAGAAAACCATTAGAACAAAATACATTTTGTTTATTCAACGGTGTATTATTAAGGAAATATAAATGACAAGGAATTAATGTGATGATATCTTTCGGATATTTTTTAAATTACCCTTGAAGTAATGATAATAGCGTGCGTCGACACTCGGTGCCGCTTGACTACTTAGCAACCTCTCAATCAATTCCATGTCAGTAGCGCCCACGATTGTTGCCGAGATGCACAATTTATGTTTAAACAACACGCATTCACAGTTGAAACCAAATTGGCAGCTTCCGATGAGTTTATTGGATTTGAACAATTCTATGATATTTTAGGATGTATGTGCACTCAAACATCAATTAATGTTAGTGGCTGAGATCACCTGAATAAATAATAACCATAATTCGAAAGATGAAAGTTCAATGAAAACGAAACATTTGCAGACCTTTGCAGATCAAAGTTATTAGAAGTCAAATTTAAGCTTTTTATGGAGGAAAATTGATTTTTATTCTTGGGAAACGATGCCATAACAATCGAATTCAACAATAATGATGTCTACAGCCAGACACATATAATTTAATTTAAAGCCTACTATCTATAATAGGCCTAATCAATTATTACTTATCCATACCTATTATACCTTCATTATTACTAGTCCTACAACATTCACAAATCCAAACGTCTTCATTCAAAATACACTCTAAAGGAAAGACCCAATTCACGTGACGCGTTGATTGATTGGTAGCAATACAAGGAGAGGCGATGTTCCTCCAGTCAGTCATTACCCCAAGTATAAACTAAACTGAACTGTATTATTTGTATTATTCCCGTATTCTTCCCTGTCGTGTTTCCTGTCCTGTATTTTTCCTTGTCGTGTTTCCTGTCCTGTATTCTGCTCTGTCGTGTTTCCTGTCCTGTCCTGTCCTGTCCTGTACTCTGGGCTGTCTACTGTCCTGTTCAATCTGCTGTCCTGTCCTGTATTCTGCCCTGTCGTGTTTCCTTTTCTGTCCTTTTCTGTCTTGTACTCTGGGCTGTCTACTGTCCTGTTCAATCTGCTGTCCTGTATTCTGCCCTTTCGTGTTTCCTGTCGTGTTTCCTGTCCTGTTCTCTGCCCTGTCATGTTTTCTGTCTTGTATTCTGCCCTGTTGTGTTTCCTGTCATGGTCCTGTTCTGTATTCTGCCCTGTCATGTCTCATGTCTTGTCCTTTACTCTGTCCTTTTATTCTGCCCTTCCTGTTTTGTCCTGTTTTCTGCCCTGTCGAGTTTTCTGTCATGTCCTGTATCCTGCTCTGTCGTGTTCATGTTCCGTCCTTTACTCTGTTCTGTCTATTATTCTGTCATGTACTGTATTCTGCCCTGTCCCGTTATTGAGCGAATACATTTTCAGTGAGCAAAAAAAGAAGATCTAAAACAAGATAACAATACTATTTACATTGCAGATATTTACAATCATTACTGAAATAACGCGTGGCCAGTTTCATTTTGTGAGCTGGTGATAATGCTCTAAAGTGTTATTCATGGGAAAGATTGTCGTAAAAACCATGAAAATCAGTTGGTATGACTAATTTCAAATCTTGCAAGTGGCCAAACGTTTTAGCTTTAGGTTTAGAATCATACAATTGTTGAATATCAGGCCTGAGGGACATCTGATGTCTGTTTTCTGGTTATTTCTTGGAATTCATCATGGCAATATAATTGATATAAGAACTTGATATAAGACCAGGACGAATAGCGAATAAAAGTTTAATTTTGAGTATTTCTTAAAGAAGGTACTATCTAAGTATTTAACAGTGTATGGAGGTGAAACATGTGATGCTTTGAAAAGATCCACATAGTTTTGGGTATGTATATTGGTTTATTACGTAATCTGCGTTCAATTGTACTGTGCATGCTATCGCACTCCATTTGCGTATCGCCTTTTTCGAGAAATTTCTGTGTTATTGTCATAGCCTTTTCTTTGGAAATTTTCTGAAGTGCATTTGACAAAGTAGAATCTTTATTTTGGTATGTACATACGTATAATATTAACTCGTTTATGTCGCACCTTAATTTTTCAATATATTCAATGAGGCATGATGTAAAAGAATTGGCAGTGCCAAAGTAGCAGAAATCTTGTTTTATTGCTAGGTCAAATATTGTATAGTTGGTTTTATAGTACATAGAACTTGCTTCGATCGTTGGTCAAAGAAGCAACAACTGCAGATTTAGGGTTACAACTTTGATTGTATGATTGGATTCCGCTAACAGTTTATCTTGACATTTTTCATCCCTGGCACTAGTTTTACATTCGTGTGCATTGTATTCGGCCTCAGTGATATTATCAGTACGGAACTTGTAACAAATATCGCATTGATCCTTTATGGGATAAAAAAGGGAGAGATTTAAATCAACAATAATTGATTTGAAGGCTTTCTTTCCCAAAATTGGTTGAGCTTTTTGACAGCAATAGTCTTTATACACTCTATAAAGTTCAGCGAAATTTGTAAATATCGGTTCGAGGTATGATTTCTTTGATGAAGCCCTGCAATAATGTGATTGGAGTTTAGGAAGTTCGTTAAGGAACTCTTTGGCAGATAAAACTTTCGCATTAGTACGTCTTGGATTTCGGGTTTTTACCTGTGGTACACCAAATTCAACACATTCGATCCATTCGTACATCATTTTATCCTTCATTCGAAGGGTTGATAACATCATATTACGGCAAACTTATATTCTCTTTTCATTCTTCTTTAAGAGATATCTAAAAGAGTTTTTCTTCCTCCGTTCACCAGCTTTTTTTCTTTCTCTGATCTCTACTATGTCAACTAATGCAGCCAAATTTACCTTTTTTTGATCCCAACTTAAATGATTCCAAAACCTGTCAAAAATCACCATCCGATCATTATAGCTAAAAGATGTACAGCCTTGTCGCAAAGTTTTGAGCAGTTATGACGACAAAGTGTACTGCTGATATATCGGTTGAATACACCTTTTCCCCTCCATTTGCAAACGTTTGTGCACATTTTTTTCCATAGTTTGCGGTTTACCTTCCCTGGTTTGGCTCCGGATTCTTTAATGGGATGGATGGTTTGGTCAAGATCTGGAACAGGATTGATCACAACATTATGGTTCTCTGTGTTATCGTCAGAGTATTCATCAGAACTTTCACCACTTTTTCTCTTACTTGAAGGCACCCAGTCTGGATCCATGTCATTATCATGATTGTCAGAATCTGCTTCTACTGTTTCAATTGCATCGCCTAATATTTATCGATTGTGTTTTTTGTACCATGGCACAGAGTCGGCTGTTTTATTAGAATCTATAATAGAATCAATGGGTAAACATGAAGAATTGGGTTCTTCATGTAGAGTACCAGGTTGGATTGAGAAGTCTCCTTCCAATTTATTCGTCAAGGCATTCGTCCCTCCACTAGCACTACGATTATTTAGCACTAGATTAACCAAATACCACCCTCTTGAAAACGGGTGCATTTTTAACATGAGTGTAAAGTTAAAGTGTATCTTTAATCCTGAAACAAGAAAATAACGGTATATCATACAACATGACTGGATATCATATTAATAGAAAAGGGTATATACACAGAACTGAAGTATATCGCAATATTGGCCCAGTGGGATACTATAAACGTAGTAAATACCTGTTATACGAATAGCATTATTATCAAAACAACAAATAGGCTATCCTCCACTATTTCTAAACCATCATATATCTACACTATCAAGACTACGTATCAAAAATATAAAATTCTAAAAACGTGTATAAATTTTGTTTTTTACAAAATTTCACGAAATATTTCTATGAAAGATGACAAATTATAACGGCAAATTGCTTCATAAAGTATCTTAGATAAAAACTAAATCAATATCTCTTAGATCTACACATTTATATCCATTCGTTAGATGTAAACAGTCATTTTGATCATTTAGACAATTTTTCAATGACACTTTAGTTTTCCTAAATTATCCCTTATTCCACAAATAACTTAAGAAACATTTCCTTACCTCCTTATTTGCTATAAATGCTTTAGACAGGAAAAATTATGTAAAAAGTGCACTTGAAATTTAATTCGAGTAACACGCGAATTTCAATTTTTGTTTAAAGACAATTGTTATATATCACTGGAAAGAACATGAAGAGCACATTCAGAAATCGAAAAAATTAATCCTCTAGGTTAATGAGGTCCAGAGATGCGAAGTTGGCTGTTTTCAGACAGCTATAAAACCAGAAGTGGGTGTCATATAAAGTTACATTTGTTCCGGCCTTTTACTCTAAAAGATAGTGGACCACAGCCATATACACCCACCACCAAAAAAACAGATACTCATCAACTCTTGCGCAAAAGCTCCTTTCACCCAAAACATACCTTTTCTAGTATAATTAAGTCACAAGTTTTACGATTTCATCGAATTTGTACAAGATCTTCTGATTTCAACCAAGCCTGTACTCTAAGAATAAAAGGTACCCGATCCAGGAACATCTAACATGTGAACATTCGAATGTAATATATTTAATTTCATGCAAGAACTGCCCCAAACAATATGTAGGAGAAACTAAGAATAATTTATGAACCCGTTTTAATGCTCATAGGTCGGACATCAAATTAAAGAAAGACAAGCCTGTTTCTAATTATTTCAACCTTGACGACCATTCAATAGACGATCTCACCCTAATCCCAATTGAGCGTATAGAAATTGACTTGCCCGAAGATGAAACTACCAAATTCCGTCAATCTAGGGAAGCCCATTGGATTGAGACATTGAATACAGCAAGACCTATAGGACTAAATATTCATCATAATGTAGGCATAGCACCCTTTGTTGTCCCGTTCAATACAACCAGCAATCAAGCAAGCAAGATAGTTCATGCCCACTATAAGAGCCTTCAAGAGAAATTCCCCCATGTCTATAAGCAGAAAATGATAGTTGCATATTCAAAAAATAAAAACTTAAATGATAATATTGTTCATAGTAAACTAAAAACAATCAGTACATAACAGATACTATACTTCTCGCCCATCGGACGAGTTATTTTTTCTAATTTCAGATCAAAATAAGAACAGAAGAAAACCCAATATCAAGACCCTTAATCCTAATTTCTAAATAAAGTGTCTTCTCCACCCTAGGCCTGTACATTTGGGAGAATCAAACCCTCCTTTCCCCGAAATATATTGTGGGTTTGGTTTTGAAAGCCTGTTTCTGACAATATGTGTCACTGAGATGGCTCATAGTCAGAGACATTCTCTATGTTTGTGGGTCACAGTATTAATAAATGAAACAGTTCCGATCATAAAATCTGATTTGGGTGTGACACTGAAGTGTGATATGTTTGGGCCTCATATATCGGTTACTTGTGGCGTAAGGTACTTCACAGTATTCATGGAATTTTGTAGAAACAGTACGAAACGTCCAAACTGTTCGAAACAAATATTCAGTTTGCAAGAAGTATCAAAAAAATTTATATATTTTCACGCTGCAACATTATATTATGTCTGTACAAAGCGTCTCAGAAATGGTCTTATGTATGTTTGATTTGTTATGAATCGTCTCAGAAGTTTACCCTTGGCCGTCTTTCGGTTAACTATTGAAGTTTCCGTTTTATCGACATTCGAACATCTTCTATGAAGAGTGCGATATTTTTACCAACAAAAAAATTGATTTAAACAAAAAAAATTATCCGATGAAATTTGGTGAGAATACTCAGAATAGGTTCTAGAACATCATCCTGTCGTATTTTAATGGATAAAAAATTTAGATCATAATGAGGTACATAAGTGAAGTAGCGCCGACTTTTTTAGGGTTAGGTTGAGGACTAGTAACATTTTATAATCAAAAGATACTTTACACTGAATTATTTAGGGTTAGGTTGAGGACTAGTAACATTTTATAATAAAACAATACTTTACATTGAATTATTTAGGGTTAGGTTGAGGACTAGGAACATTTTATAATAAAACAATTCTTTACACTGAATTATTTAGGGTTAGGTTGAGGGCTAGGAACATTTTATAATAAAACAATACTTTACATTGAATTATTTAGGGTTAGGTTGAGGACTAGGAACATTTTATAATAAAACAATACTTTACACTGAATTATTTAGGGTTAGGGTGAGGACTAGGAACATTTTATAATAAAACAATACTTTACATTGAATTATTTAGGGTTAGGTTGAGGGCTAGGAACATTTTATAATAAAACAATACTTTACACTGAATTATTTAGGGATAGGTTGAGGGCTAGTAACATTTTGTACAAGATCTTCTGCTTTCAACCAAGCCTGTACGATTTTTTTCTCAAAACTGAAAGAGCGTGGGTACTCTAAACGATTTTTACGAAACATAAAAAATTCCACCTTAGCACAGATAGCAGCTAAAAACAGACTTTATGCCGAAGTACCTCCAGGTTTAAGAAGTGCTCCATGTTTGTCGTAGATGCAAAACATGTCCCTTTATATCAGAAACTCATTATTTTGTAAGCAACTCTACGAATAAAAGGTACCCGATCCAGGAACATCTAACATGTGAACATTCGAATGTAATATATTTAATTTCATGCAAGAAATGCCCCAAACAATATGTAGGAGAAACTAAGAATAATTTACGAACTCGCTTTAATGCTCATAGGTCAGACATCAAATTAAAGAAAGACAAGCCTGTTTCTAATCATTTCAACCTCGACGACCATTCAATAGACGATCTCACCCTAATCCCAATTGAGCGTATAGAAATTGACTTGCCCGAAGATGAAACTACCTTCAAAATCTAATCCAATATTTCTATAATCCTCAATTGATCAAAGATATGACTCAACTAATTAAGAAATCAAAAATAATCCTAATCCTCAACTGATCAAAGATATGACATGATTCACTCAATAATTCTTAGAAAATCAAAAACCTGTATTAACTGACTACTATATAAGTCGCAAATCCAATCTCATTTCATAACCATTCCTCGACACTTAAAAAGGATAATATTTCGAAAACCGGTTCGTGTCAATTGCGTAAGTTTTTGTTTTACTTGTTATAATTTTTCACATCATTGTTAGCGTTATTTATCACCTAAATATATATTTTTTTGCATTTTTTATCATAACTTTCATCTTACTTTATATATCCCCAAACCCAGTTTGACTTATTTGCATAATTTAATCCCAACATTTTCACGCTAGCATATACAGTTTCCTCCTGTTACATCCGCTGTACATTCCCTTCTAACCTCAAGTTATTTTCATTATGCTCTCCAACTACAACAACCACTGGCAAGAAGCCAGAAATAGAAACACTAATCGTCAGCCAAACCAATATCACGTACCCTACAACGGCCCTGTCTTCCATCGACCTCTACCACCTACCAATCGCCGACCACCAACCAACCCATCCAGCTATATCCCACCCCATCGCCGACCTACCTACAACAAAGCCTACCAATCAAGAGGTAACCATCGACCTGACCAACAACAGAAACGACTACCCGCCCACCGACGCCAACCAGTCTCCACTCATAAGGAGGAAGAACCCTTTGTGAAGGTGTTCTTCCAAGTTTTGCAGTGCCTCCATCATTTGGCAATCCTTACCCTTCAACAGCAAGGCCAACCAGCATTTACCTTCAAACGCAAAGTCTCTGAGTTGAATAGTTTTATCCGTCCAGCAATGAAAACATCAGCTGTCGACGCGAATATTAGATCCCTCAATCGGACATGGCTCTGTAAGGTTACGCAGGTCCTGATCGACCATTACCAAACCATACTTCAAGAGAAGCTGACCACCATTCGTACCAAGTCTTTATCATCACCTGCCGTCGACCGCATCGTTTCTCATGCCCTGTCCTGGGCCCGTCGCTCCTATGGGAAACGTCTCACTCAAGCTGTAATCTCCAAATTCTACCAAACAATCAACGAAACAAAAACCAGATTAACCATATCTCTACCAACTGAAATGGACACTACACCTGCACCATCTAGAGCCACCACGCTGCCGAACCAAACCCCTAAACGAGCTCGAAGTTCACCTACTCCTAGTCCAGCAGACATAGGTAAACGCTCTCGTAGAGAGGGCACACCCCTTCTCTTTTCACTTTCAGACTCGTCTTCCCCTTCCACACCATCTGAATCTTCACCACGTGATCCAGGATCCGCCAACCTTTCTTCCTTCTGTGCGTTTTTGGACCAGCAAACCACCCCTCAGTCTCCATCCAAGTCGAGACGTATATCCAGACCTTCCCCCCCTCGAACCAGATCCCAGTCCGTTCCAAATGCTACAATTCTAACAACTACCAAACCAGTACCAATCACACCGTCGACGACCATTATATCCGCTACCAAACCGTATTATCACCAAACCAAGGACAAATCATTATGGAAGCTACCTGCTCTAAAGAAATCTACCTTAATAATTGGATCATCTAACCTGAATCGAATCGGGTTCGGTTGAGGACTAGGAACATTTTATAATAAAAAGATAATTTACACTGAATTATTTAGGGTAAAATTGAAAGAATTGCAGCAATTGCTAGCTACTCAAACCAACAATATAAAGATAGCTTGCCATACAAGGTAATATACGCCCACTTGCAGCTTTGATTTTGAATAAAAATATTTAGCAGTACAGTAACAATCACCAGTATGAAATATTCAACCTTCAGTCATACACATTTTTAGGGCGATAATGAATAATATTGAGTATGAGTTATTGCCCTTGTTCTTGAAAACGTGTTCAATTTTTAGCTCATGAAAACTTTAGATGGCAAATATTCAATCTTCAGAGCAGGACTGAATAATAAAAGCAAGTTTTATCAAAATCCAGCAAAAATCATTATGAACATTCACATCAAGTTTCATCAAAATCCGTCAAGAATTGTGCTTTCTAGAGTGATTACGAGCTAAAAATTGAACTCGTTTTCAAAAGCACTGGTAATAATTCATACTCAATATTTTTCGATTTTTCTGATTTTCAATAGGGTTTATCCTTGTGTGATAAACACTCATGCCAAGTTTCGTCAAATCCGTCAAGAATTGTCCCTTCTAGAGTGTTTACAAGCTAAAAATTGAATGCGTTTTCAAGAACAAGGGCAATAACTCATACTAAATAATTTTCAATTCTTCTGATTTTCAATAGGGTTCATCCTTGGGTGATTACGAACACTCATACCAAGTTTTGTCAAAATCCATCAAGAATTGTGTCTTCTAGAGTGTTTACGAGCTAAAAATTGAACGCGTTTTCAAGAACATGGGCAATAACTCTACTAAATATTTTTCGATTTTTCTGATTTTCAATAGGGATCATACTTGGGTGATTACAAACACTCATGCCAAGTTTCGTTAAAATCAATCAAGAATTGTCCCTTCTAGAGTGTTTACGAACTAAAAATTGAACGCGTTTTCAAAAACAAGGGCAATAACTCATACTAAATATTTTTCGATTCTTCTGATTTTTGATTTTTCTGATTTTCGATAGGGTTCATCCTTGGGTGATTACGAACACTCATACCAAGTTTTGTTAAAATCTGTCAAGAATTGTGACTTGTATAGTGTTTATGAGCAATTGTGGACGGACGGACCGACGAAAAGAAGTGACAGCAATATACGCCCCTCCATTTCATGTGGGCGTATAAAAATTGAAGTAATTGCAAGAAATTAAAAGAAATAGCTACCTACCTTATAATTGTCGAAATAATTGACAAAATTGAAAGAATTGCAGCAATGGGGATAGTTCACGAGGCGGCGCAAATGTACTAGCGGTAGTAGTCTGCTGATAATGGCGTCGTATTCACATACCGTAGATAGGAATTCTTGGACCGTTTCCGAATTGAAAGATGAATTAAGAAGACGCAGGGCTAAAACAACGGGCAGAAAAATTGATCTGATAGAAAGGTATGTTAAAGAAAAGAAATATTGCACAAATGACGATATCAGTAAGCCAATGAACATACTTGTGTAAAGTAACTAATGTAAACAAAATTGGAAAAAATGGCGTACTTGTTGGACGATAAACCATTTTGTCAACTATTTGCCGAAAATCAAAGACCTAAATGTTTGTAATGTATTTTGTACTGGCATCTATATGAGTCTATGAAAATTTTGATAGTGAAATGGCCCAAGGACTGTCATTGTCAATGAGGCTTAGCTTTGGATTTGGAAGGCACTTTCTTTACTTTTACTTTAGTTATTCTAGTACTAGGCTTATAACAATAATATAACAATAAATAGTATTCAAGATGTTTCTTTTTATTGTGATATTGCAGACTAGAAGCCTATGACAGGAATGCAAATTTTGAGGTTGGAAAAGTGGACTCACCAGACCCTATAGTCATACCCTTTTGGCCTGACAGTGAGTGACCAGAAATCGGCTCGGTTAGTACGGTTAGTACGTGGATGGTTGACCGCCTGGGAACACAGAGTGCTGTAGACTCTGTAGCATATCAACAGTGGTGTAATTGATGGTTATTTTAGGTAAGTAAACCTAAGTACTCTCTGACAACATTGAGTTCTGAATCGAATTTTGCCTGTTATTTTTTTATGAATGGAAACATAAACCTCAAAATAGTTCTGAGAGTCTTAGATTGTCTTTGGGTTGATGAAAATGACAACTGGTAAAAAAAAATATTTATTTGGAAATATGATTTTACAGAGGGGAAATTTTAGTCCGAAATGTCAGGACATTTTCACATAAAATTTATGGGAGGGAAGTGTATTTATTTCATATTGAATGTTTTCAAAACTTATATTTTCATGGACCCAAAGGCGTTCTAAGACACATGGCATACAATTGAAAAAAAATATTTTGAATATTTGTGACATGAGAGAAAAATTCAATTCAGACTTCAATGTGGCCAGAGTAGTAATTTTCATACAATTAACTACTAAATACTACTACCTGCATGAATATGTTTTGAGTCCAGAATGAATGGATGGAATTAGTCCTCATAATCAATGATTGGACATTTGTTTTAGTTCTGTGTCAACACTTTCAACAAAATTAAAATTCTAGTATATCAAAATATGTCTTTCTCAAATTCGTTGAAAATAAATCTAGAATGGTTATATTTTTAGATTTCGAATGGCGACCGACCAAATAGCAAATTGTGATGTACAGGCTTTATAGAAGGGAAATTTGTTGCTTATTGCTCAACATGTAGTGTGTTTGTTGATGGTGAAAGTGGTGAGATCTTTTTAACTGGTATAGTTAAGGCAGCAATGAAGAAAAGGGTGAGTTTCATGATATTAAATTGCACTGCACAATACATATTTATTTTGAAGCAAAATTTTCATTTCCTATAGTGCCATTGGACAGCAGTTATCGGTTATGCTTGCTGCATGAGAAAGTTGTGGATCTCCCCTGTTTTCAGTAAAGCTTATGTTCATGTATAGGTATCTCATAACTTCAAGGTCAAATTGCTGGATGGGGAGATAATCAATTCTCACTGTGAGTGTCCTGCTGGCAAACGTCCTCATGGCACCTGTAAACATCTTGCTTGTGTCCTTTTAATGTTATTGAAGCTAAATAATACTGGTGAAGTCTGGATAAATAAATCATGTACTGAAAACCCACAATTGTTTCATTTCACTTCATCATGGTAAATTTAAATTGTTGGACAAAAGTTTGGGTTTTGAATTTGATTGATTTAAATTTGTTAGATTTTGTTCCATTTTTTGTTGTTGATAAAGATGGTTTTGTCCTAAAATTATTTGTTTCAATCATTGCAAGATCCTCATGTTAGCTTTTCGTAATAATGATTATTATTTTTCAGATATCATAATTTACATTGCATACAAAAAGATCACTTATTATAAATCATTTCTGTAATTTTTTACCATTTTCTTTCATTCAAGAGTAATCTATATTTTTTTCTTTCTACTGTTCTAATAATATATGTTTATATAATATTAATATACTGTTTATATCACATTTATATGGTCTGTTTTTATATATACAATGATGTTAAATCTGTTTTTAGGCTCGCCAATTAAAGCTCAGAATCTGAATGTGAAGAATTCGAAGAGAAGAGTTAGTTTGGATGATCCAAGACCAGTTAAGTACATAAGAATGGAAGGCTATGAAGATCATGTTAGAAACTTGGTATTAAACTACTGTTCGAACCATTCAAAAGACCTCACATTCCGTTTCCTTTACAACAAGGCAAATCTTCAATATGCTGTTCATGATCAGAATATTGAATGGACACAAGTATCCAGGTAAATTTATAAGTTTTTGAGAATTTTACAAAAATGTAGATATGACAGGAAACATAGTTTAACAGATTAGATCTGTAAAGGCTTAAAATCCAACTGCCTAGACTTTATTATGACTAAATTCATGCTGTTTTATATCATTAGGTGAAATACCTAAAAATTGAGTTTAGGCAATATTTGTATTCTGAAATTAATCATACATATAAGTTTGTGATGAACTCAAATTATGTCATTCAAGGTTACTGAAGATCATGCAGAAAAGATACAGTTGGAAACAGTGCACCAAAGTGGTTCTAAAAAGTGGTTTGAGGAGAGGCAGTACAGATTGACAGCCTCAAGATTTGGTGAAATCTGTAAAATAACAGATAGAAGAAATAAAGATAAACTCTGTGACTCCCTGTTAACCCTTAATAACCTGTCTACTAAATCCATGATGCATGGTCGTATTTACCAAAGAACTGGTTTGGAGGAATTTGAAAAGTTATATAAATGTAATGTTAAAAGTGCTGGGCTTTTTGTTTCCGTTGAATTTCCATACTTAGGAGCAACCCCTGATGGCATTATTGATCATGATTGTATTGTAGAAGTCAAATGTCCATACAATGGCCTTAATGAATTGATTAAGCCAGGTCCTTTTTTTAAATTTTTACATATGAGGGATGGAAATATTTGCCTTAAACAAACAAGTAATTATTATTATCAAGTCCAGGGTCAAATGTTTATATCTAAAAGAGGTTTTTGCTTTTTTTGTTGTAAATACATTTAATGATTTGTTTGTGCAGAAAATCAAGATAGATACTGAATTTTGTGTCCATAGTATTTTACCAAAACTGCAATTGTTTTGGAAAAAACATGAGACCTCACATAGCTAGCCATTTGTAGAGTTCATAGTTACTCATTAAAACTGGAATTGATGTTACTAGAATTAATACTTATTTTTATAAACACAGATTAAGCTGTTTTGTTTATTGTTGAGTCTAATTAAATGCATTTGAACTGTTGATTGACAAAAATTAGAAGTGTAATGTTTAAAGGGGCAGTCTGATTCCTTAAGCAGTTCAGATTACTTAGATGTTCAATTAATGAAAACTATTCAATGCAATCTACAGGACTGTGTCCTGTACCTTATCTTAAAGTTTTAAAAATAAGAATCATAATGCAATTACTATTTTAAAGTTGTTTTTTTGTTGATGCTAGAAAACTATTAATATGTTATGTTTATTACAGTAAATATAAAAATTTTGTAATTCTATATATTATTTGCAATATTTTTAATTAATTCATTTTGCATTTACACTAGTAAAACTAGCATGTCCTTATGGTTGCTTATATTTTGAAAAGTACTGGATCTTCATCATTTTTTATGTTTATGAAATTTCATTAGTAGGAAGAGGCTGCTCAAACACAGGACTGAGCAAATCAGCATGCTGACACATTCAATATGTTTTGATTTTGCTTAATTTTGCAGCTTTAGCAAAATGATGGTATTCTTTCAGCCTTGATTCATTCAAATAAAAAAAAACGACTCTCTATATAACAGTTGTATAAAATATTTATTTTACATGGATCAGATTGAGATCTTAATGTATATCAGGGACACTTATAGCATCAATTTCTTTCGTCTTATTGTAAACGAAACAAGATTATTGCCACTTTCTGATTTGTTGAAATTAATATTACCAGAACTAGCTTGCAGTAATAATTTTGTTAAGATTACAATAAGGCAAAAAAAAAAAGAAACAAAATTAAAAAATTAAATTGGCAATACATATACAAAATTTAGAAAACCTCTTTAAAATCCCTTCCAGACATTTAGCCTACTTTTTTACAATACATCTACGAAAATTAGATAGCATAAAACATATGTACACAATTCGGGATCCAATTGACACTTTCGAGGGAGGTAGTTCTCGTTTCAATATTTTGTATGATTTTGCTAGTCCCATAACCTGTCCAACATGTACTCTGGATGACTCAACTCTTCTATCATGAACTACAGCTTCTGGCTCTAACTGACTACTTCCTTTTAACATGGTCGGGGTGTTAACGCAGACGTTGTTATTAGCAAAAAGGTCTTGTACCATTATACCCCTATCAGACATGATACTGTCCTTTTGAGAAAACTTTCCTGGTACAACTAAGTCAAACGTTTAATAATCTGCCTATCGCTAGTGGATCCAGCATAAGCATCACTTATATATGAGACAAAACCCTGTGGAGTACTTCCTATCAAGGTCTTAAGCGTATTACGACTTTAGTAAGTGGAATATGTTGCGCTCTGGTCAGAAACATCTGAAGGCTTTTGTATCGGGGGTTTCTGTGGCATCTAAAATTACTCTTGTTGAAGGGAATCTGGTTTTAAAGGAGGAAGGCATTGAATTTTGCACAACCTGTTTTTAAGGCCATATGTCAATCTCTTGCAGTTGAAAGTACATAAAGTTTATCCAAGTTTGAATCAGTCTACACACTGTTGTCTCACTCACATTAAAAAGAATAGAAAGCTCAATGTCCTCTTTAGCCTGTCTTAGTTTTATAAGTGTCATAAACAATTGATTAACTGGTGTCAAAAGTGAGCATAATGAATCTAATTCATTAACAGCTGGACCCAAAATATTAAAAAAAAGCATGAAATGTTCAAAATCATCTAAGCCAGAAAAAAACTGCACAGCTTTAGAATTATTTTCAAAAAGTTCAACTGAAAAATTATTTGAAGATGGTAGAATGTCACACTGTATTACGGCATCAACAAAAGGGCTTGCATTTGACTCCTCTACAGATTCCGAAGGTACCTCCTCTATCTCTATCTCACATCCTATTTCAAGATCATCACAGGTAGAAACAGTGCTGGTCTCGGTTTCAATCACATCTAATGAAGTCCTCTTACTTAAACGCTGCTCTCTTCTTGATGGTCCACCAGCAGGAACTCGAAAGGCAAAAACTGATGGTACTGCATCTTCTTTTAGCTTTCTTCTCTCACCTAATATGAAAAAAAAAAAACTCTGTTTACTGTTTAATTTTTAGTGCATTTGCTAACCATTCTGTGCCTCATAGCCAATCAATGCCAATGGAAGTGGCTAGGCCTACACATGCAAGAGGCTTTAGACAGTCTGAGTGATACAAATGCCTATTTTGTGGTTCAGTTAAAATGGAATTTCGCATAGGAGGATGCCAATATACTATGAATATCGAAATTAACCATATATAATCAGTTACTCACCAAGCTATCGGATCAGAAGATAGTCTGACAGTGTGAAGTAGTCTGAGCAAACAACGTCATAACGCTTCGGTTTCCACTAATTACGGTCACTACCGACCCTCTTGATGGCAATGCGCCATTTCAGATTGACCTCAGGATTTTTCGGAAATTGATGTCCACCAAATTTACAGCAACCAGGGACTGAACAGTATTGAGGCATTGAATAACTACCGAAATAGTCACATAAACAACTATTTCAATGAGGCGCCATTTTACTACCGGTGGTACAGCAACGCCACCTGGGGAGATAACTCGGGATGAACTCGCCTCATTGCAAGCTACTTAAACCAACGATATAGAAATTGAAATAATTGCAAGAAATTGAAAGAAATAGCTACCTACCTCTCAATAGTTGAAATAATTGAAAGAATTGCAGCAATTGCTAGCTGCTCAAACCAACGATATAAAATTGAAAGAATTGAAAGAAATTGAAAAAGTTTCACACAAAAAGTTCAATAATTGCAATAGAACTTATATAGTAAATTGACAGATTTAGAAAAAAAACTCAGATCCTGCACCTTCCTCAATATTTCATAAAATGAAAGTCCAAAATCCAACATAACCATATTATTGCAATGTGCTTGCCACAAGCGTTTCATTGACACCATCCTGATTGTTGTTAAAGCACAAGTTCTAGTGATATAATCCTCTGAATATAGGAAATTTAAGAAAATTGTCCATTTCAAAACCCCATAAAATCAGAAGTAATTTACCAAAATTACAAATGTTGGTATCAAATGAAAGTGTAGCCAAAGAAGATATTGCTGCTGAAAGTTAAAGGTTGCAGAAGGTCAAAGTCAAAAGTTATCGTCCTATATATACATGGCCTATCATAAAAAGCTTTGAATGAATGTTGTGCAAAGCCAAATTCGAAATTCCAAATAAGGGCTTCTAGAGGATATAGATATTTTTCAAAAGTACAATTTAAAACAAATTTGAAAAAAATCGGATTAAAAATTTTTCAGATATTTTGCTTTTTTAAAGATGGCTGCTGAACGGTTAGGAATATGCATACATGGCAAATGTACAAAATGAAGATGGTGCAAATTCCATGAAATAACAAAGATAGTGGACCACAGCCATATACGCCCACGACGGCATGCGGATGGTAAAAACGAAACATCCATTTTAAGTTTCATCAAAATCGGATGAAAACTAAGAGAGTAATAGCATATTCAAGATTTTGGGGCAAGGGCAATAACTCCGCTTCTAACAGTCAAAATAGCTCAAATTCGAACTTGATCCTTGTTTCATGAATATTTATGCACATACCAAATTTCATTTGATTCCTTCAGACACTCTAGTTTTTAGAGTGTTTACGAGCAATTGATGTTGATAGAAGCACTTACTGTATAGAGGTTAAAGGGCGATAACTCCTCAAAACTGACGTAAGGGGCCTAAATCTTGAAAAAGCCTTAAATTTAATCAGAAGTAGACTAAACTTTCTCAAACCTTTCCAATTAGGTCCAATAACATCCATTTTAAGTTTCATTAAAATCGGTGGAAAACTAAGATGGTAATAGCATATTCAAGATTTTGAGGCAAGGGCAATAACTCTGCTTCTAACGGTCGAAAATAGCTCAAGTTCGAACTTGATCTTCGTTTTATGTGTATGTTTACACATACGGAATTTCATTTGATTCCATCAAAAAATCTAGTTTTTAGAGAGTTTACAAGCAAATGTTGACGGACGGATGGACGGACAGGGGTGCCGACAATATACGTCCACAAAGAGAGATTTCGGATTTTTTTTGGGGGGAATATCAATTGATAATTTGGGTTCTACCCAACTACCAATTTTCGTGCAAATCGAATAAAAATTTAAAAAGTTCGAATTTTGACCAAAATTCGGTACAAAAAGCTATTGACAAAATTTTCAAATTTCAAATTTCTGACACCGCAAACTATTCAGAAGTTTTTTCAAGATTACGCACAAAAAATTTCACAAAAATCAAACAAATATTAATCAATTTATGGCCAATTTTCAAAACTAAGGACTTTTCCGCTAGACCTCTTCCGGTCAGAAACTGATGGCTGGAAATATATTTAAGGTCTAAGCACTAGGTCTGGGATATCTGAAAATGTTTTAAGTATAACAGTTTTTGCTAGCAACTCTGACAACAATTACTAAAAAAAAAAAAAATAAATAAAAAAAAAACAATATCTAAATAATTAATGGAAACAATACAGTTTCGAGCTCAACTCGAAAGCTGTAAAAATAGTCATTTCTAAAACAATGCCAATAAGACAATCTCAATAAGACAGATTGGCACTAATATACATACAGAATCTGTATTACAGATTTAGATCATATGCTTAAGTGGCTGCTGTCTATTTTAAGGGTTTGGCATGAGGGTCACGGCTAGATGCGTCATGATGGAAATGGGGTCACACACCTAGATACCATTTATGTAGAGGTACTTACCATTGTTACAAGATTTGGCATAGGATATAAATGAAAGTAAAAATAACAAGGCACATAATAAATCAGCTCGACCCACTATACCAGCAACCTACAATATATAATATAATCAAGTTAAAAACCCTACATTCTATCTTGGCTTTATAATAACCACCCATCAGTTATCAGTTTTTAAAAATTCGTCAGTGAAGTCTCTATTTTTTGTTTGAGCGTTCCTATATATATAAACATATATATATGGTATAATTGCTCTTCTAGACACCTGATGCCACTTTTAATTGTGAATTACTTACCGGTACTCACTTATAATTGATATACTTCCTTATGTGAAAAGTTCATCAGCCGCTAACTATGTTACGCCAAAATATTGTTTTGGATTTCAGGTTATGATATTTAGTACTTGGTTTATTTATTCAAGGCACATTTCCCTAAGATCAGAGACTATACTTGGAGGATGGACAAAAAAGTCTGATAATCAAGTAATTTACCTATTCCTGAGTTCACAAACCAAGTCAAATGTAGATTTTTTTCCTATACTTGTTGTCCTGATTAGGATTTTGTCACTTTAATATGTTCAATCTCAGTACCGCAGGATAATTTTATTGGTTAATTCCTGCTCCTATAAATAATTTTGTCCTAGTTTTCTTGATTAGGATTTGGTATGTGCAACAGCATTGTGTTGACAGCTTGAGATTTGTCACTTAAATATGAGTACAGTCTCAGTACAGTAGATTAATTTGTCATGGTTGGCTTCTGTGCAATGAGTTGCTCATGTACCTATATTTGATTATCAATTCCACAGCTATCTGTTTCATTTTCTGAAATTATTAGTCGAATAATGATAAACTCTTTTTTTTTAACATGGGTCAGAATAAGGTCCAATGTCAGTATTGTAATCTAAGAAGTTGGCTACCTTGGTGGAAAAAAGATTACAATGTAGACTAAAAATATCAGAAAACTAAAAAGAAAGATGTAATTGTAATCTAATTTCAATAAGATTGTATGTCATGATCACATATCAGCAGCATGAGATTGGCCAAGGACACATACTGGTGATCTTCAATTCAACCAATCACAGTGTGTCACTCGTTTAATAATAATATCAACTCGTTTGTAAAAGTGATGGAGACCAACAAAAAAAAAAAAAAACGAAAGAAATTATAATCTAATGAAATCAGATTACATATTTGTATACTTACACTTTCAGTGTGTACAGGATGGATAGCAAATAGCACAGCGCATAATAATGAGGCTTTAGGTGAATTAAAACCAGTGGATGAGTAATAACCAGTAAAAAGAATAGAAAACACTTGCAAAATAAGAACTGAGACAGAGGCATGGAGTAGGATGTTAATAAGGTGAAATCCATAAGGATAATATCCTTCAGCTAAATAATAGTTCAACCTGAAAAAATAAATGAATGAGTAAATGAATAAATAAATGTATGAATGAAAAATAAAGAAAGAAATATTTTTGACAATATGATTCAGATCTACATGTTTCATGTTAATTTTCAACACTTGATAGATGACTAGAACCTGTCAGTAAAGCCTTTCATACAAATTCTATACTAGATTTGGAACCATCCCCCAGGGTGAGGCTATTTTTTTTTCCAATTTCAGAAAACTATACATCAAAATATAGAGAAATGTGTCCCGTAATTATGTCTAAATGTATAATTTACAATGTTTTAGGAATAAAAAATTAGCATATTGCCCCTTTAATTTTAGACTAGAGTAAAATACATACCTAAATGTAAGAACAGTTAGAGGTCTGTAGGATTTATGGCTTGTTTTAGAGGCCAGCTTTCTGCCCCAGAAATCATGTTCGAAAACATCTGATAAAGGTGTTGTTGGCAAGAGATCATTATTTCCCAAAATGGCTTCACTGTCATCAAACACAAATTCTCCGTCATAACTGTTAAAAAAACACAAAATTGACAGCATAAACACGCTCATGCTGACAAGAGAAAATGTTAATTTTGGCACTGGTAAATCATCATCCCAGCTCTGAATATTAGTTTCAACTTGAGCAGCTGAGCTTTGAACATCGTTATTGGTCATTTTACTGTTGTTTTTAGCCTTGGCTTTAAATTACCTCCCTTTTTCTCATTGTAATCTGAAACGATACAAGATAGCTTGCCAGGCAAGGTAATATTCGCCCACTGGCAGCTTTGATTTTAAAGCTTTAGGTCGTGAAAGCTCTAGAAGGCAATTACTCAATCTTCAGTCCGGTAGTGAATAATAAAACCAAGTTTAGTCAATAATCCGGCAACAATCATGCCTTTTAGTGTTTTAGAGCTAAATTTGAAAGCGTTTTCAAGAACAAGGGCAATAACCTTGGGTGGTTACAAACATTCACCTCAAGTTTCATCAAAATCCCTTAAGAATTGTGCCTTCTAGAGTGATTACGAGCTAAAAATTTGGTGATAACAAACACTCATGCCAAGTTCCGTCAAAATCCATCAAGAATTGTCCCTTCTAGAGTGTTTACAAGCTAAAGATAGCTTGCCAGGCAAGGTAATATACGCCCACTGGCAGCTTTGATTTTGAACATAAATATTTAGCAGTACAGTAACAATCACCAATATGAAATATTCAACATTCAGTAATACACTTCTTTTGAACTCTTTAGGGCGATACTGAATAATATTGAGTATGAGTTATTGCCCTAGTTCTTGAAAACGTGTTCAATCTTTGGCTCGTGAAAACTCTAGAAGACAAATATTCAATCTTCAGTGCAATAATGAATAATAAAACCAAGTTTTGCCAAAATTCGGCAAGAATCATGCCTTCTAGAGTTTTTATGACCTACAAATTGAACAAGTTTACAAGATCAAGGGCAATAACTCGTACTAACTATTTTTCGATTTTTCTCATTTTCAATAGGCTTTATCCATGGGTGATAACAAACACTCAAGTCAAATTTCGTTAAAATCCGTCAAGAATTGTGCCTTCTAGAGTGTTTACAAGCTAAAACTTGAACGCGTTTTCAAGAATAAGGGCAATAAATCATACTCAATATTTTTAGATTCTTCTGATTTTCAATAGGGTTCATCCTTGGGTGATAACCAACACTCAAGCCAAATTTCGTTAAAATCCATTGAGAATTGTCCCTTCTAAAGTGTTTACAAGCTAAAATTTGAACGCATTTTCAAGAACAAGGGCAATAACTCAATTTTTCTGATTTCTGATAGGGTTTATCCTTGGGCGATAACGAACACTCATACCAAGTTTCATCAAAATCCGTCATGAATTGCACATTCTAGAGTGTTTACGAGCGTTTCAAGAACAAGGGCGATAACTTACAGTAAATATTTTTCGATTCGTCTGATTTTCAATAGGGTTCATCCTTGGGTGATTACAAACAACCATACCAATTTTCGTCGAAATCAGTCAAGAATTGTGCCTTGTAGAGTGTTTACGAGCAATTGTGGACGGACCATATACGCCCCCCATTTCATGTGGTGATTCCAAAAAGAAAAGATAGCTTGCCAGGCAAGGTAATATACGCCCACTGATAGCTTTGTTTGAAATTGAATATTTGTTAGAAAATAGCAAACATAGACACCAGGAAATATTCAACTTATACCCAAATCCATCACAAACTGTGCCATCACAAGTTAAAAATCAAACACATTTGTAAGAATAACGGCAATAACTTGTATTTTATATTTCAAAAGGTTTAGTTTTGATTGTGATCAATTTCATCAAGTTGTCAAATTTGTTTTAGACTTCTGCTTTGTAGAATAAAAATTACGTGTTTTACAAGATTTTTGATCAGATTTATCCTTGGGTGATTTCAATAAGTCTGTCATGAATTGTGTATTTGCAGATTATATTCAAGCAAATTAGGTTGAAATATTTTTTTAAAAGTTTTATGTATCGAGTTTATGACAGGTTGGAGTTGCTAATATTTACCACCTTTTTTCTCCTGTTGAATTTAATCTTTTTATATCCTTACATTTTTTCTCTCGAAGATTTGATTAGTTTGCATGAAATGCAATGGATTTGTAAGTATACTTGATTGCAGCTGTCTTGGCTAATAAGGACAAGAAAAGAATTGAATTTTACTATTATGACAGTTTATCCATTAGCAATAATTCTATAAGTAATTACTGCTCAATGTGCCACGGGAATCAGAAAAAATGTGATAAATTAACAAAGTTTTAATTCAAATAATAAAATAAACTAAAACTAGAACCGTTATAACGGTACCGAAGCAGTGCGCATCCAATCTGATACATCGATAAAACGTTGCATTTTAAAGTCACAATGGGATTTCTTACCTGAAAGAAAAGCATGTAAACGTTCAATAGTAGAAAAAATCGTTTAAACCGTTTACCGTTCGGTAGTGAAAAGACGCATGAATTTGATACCATTCGGTACTAAAAGATGTTAACATTCGGTAGTAAAAAGTCGAATTTTCAAATAGCTGTAAAGTTAAAAGTTCAATTCGCACAACAAAAATGAAAATATTTTTGGAAAGGTACAATAATTTGTGTTTCGGCCAAGAGGTCAACAAAGGTCAAATAAAGGGGAATATAAGCCTTAAAAGTGTTGAAAATTGCTGTTTTGGGACGTTTGTAAAAGCGAAAATATATGTCGGACATCAAAGATAAAAGTATGAATGGATATCGTAGATGAATAACCTTTGACCTTCTAAAGACCAAGATTATGCATGTAAATGGTCAAAATATCAAAATTTTATAAATTGTAAATCCTATTCCCTTTTTTAAAGTAAAAGGCCTAAACAAAATGTAACTCTATCAGATATTGTCCCAAATAGTGCTATAATTTTTTGTAAAATTTCGATAGTGAAAAAAGCAAACTTTTCGAGTTATAACAATTAGAATTATTTATGGTAAAGGTAAAAGTAACCCAAATTTGCCACGCCCACTGCAAAAATTTTGTGTTGTCTGTAATAATGTGTACAATGTCAAATAATGTTCAAAATTTCAAGTGTTTACAATCATTAGATCATGAGATATTCGTAGTTAAAAGTTTTTTTAAGGCAACGGTGACTGTCGGTGGATTATAGAAACCGTTAAAATTACGCAAAGTTACTATAGAAGCCAATACAAAATTTTCAAATTTAATTTTAATCAAAATACCAAGTGTTATATATCATTTGAAAGAATAGATTGCGTGTAATAAGGACAAAAGATAAATTTTCGCTTATATAAATTAGGTCACGTGATAGACCTTTTTTTAAAGTTAAAAATCGCGATTTTCAATTGGCTGTAGAACCGGAAGTTAACGGAGCACAACAAAAGTGAAAATATTATCGGATATATCTCGTAATGGGCAACAACCTTTGTTCAGGTCAAAAGGTCAACAAAGGTTAAATAAAAGTAATATGAGCCTTTGAAGTTTCGAAAATTGCTGTTTTCGGACGTCTGTAAAACCGGAAGTATATGTTGCACATCAAAAATCAAAGTAAGAATGGTCATCTTAGATCAATGACCTTTGACCATGCAAAGGTCAAGGTCATTTACTTTAAAGTTCAAAAATAAAAATTTTTAAAATTGTTAAACCTGTTACCTTTTGTAAAGTAAAGAACGCAAACAACTGTAATCCTATCACAAATTGTCCTAAACAGTGATCTACTTTCATGCAAAATTTCTAGGAAGACAATTACAAACTTTGTGAGTTATGACAATTGCAAATATTTCAGGTAAAGGTAAATGCACACCGGACGTGCCACGCCCACTTCAAAAATATTAATTTGTCTGTGATGATGTCTACATTGTTAAAATAATGTTCAAAATTTCAAGTCTTTACAATCATTAGATCATGAGATATTCGTAGTTAAACTTTTTTTTAGGGCAACGGTGACTGTCGGTAAATTATAGACACTGTGATTTTATGCACAGTTACTATAGAAGTCAGTACAAAATTTTCAATTTTTAAAACGCTCAATTTTGATCAAAATATCAAGTGTGATATATCGCCAAAAAGGAGAGATCATGCACTCTAAGAATATATAAGAAATTTTGTTATATGTTAATTAGGTCACGTGACAGAGCTCTTTAAAGTTAAAAATCGCGATTTTCAAATTGCTGTAGAACCGAAGTTAACAATGCACAACAAAAGTGAAGATATTATCGGATATATCTCGTAAGGGGCAACAACTTTTGTTCAGGTCAAAAGGTAAATGCACACCGGATGTGCCACGCCTACTTCAAAAATTTCAATTTGTCTGTGATGATGTGTACATTGTTAAATAATGTTCAAAATTTCAAGTGTTTACAATCATTAGATCATGAGATATTCATAGTTAAAAGTTTTTTTAAAGCAACAGTGACTGTCAGTATTATTTTACGCACAGTTACTATAGAAGTCTTTGAATGGCATTTAGCAATTGTGAGTACGATATATAGACACAGCTTTATGGAACAACAATCACTGGTTAAAGTTTTATGCAACGTTTCGACGTGTTTCCCCCGTCGTCCTCAGGCACAGAAGTCAATACAAAATTTTCAAATTCTAAAAAGCGCAATTTCAATCAAAATGCCAAGTGTTATATATCATTTGAAAGAATAGATTGTGTGTAATAAGGAAATAAGAGAAATTTTCACGTATGTAAATTAGGTCACGTGACAGAGCTCTTCAAAGTTAAATATCGCGATTTTCAATTGGCTGTAGAACCGGAAGTTAACGATGCACAGCAAAAGTGAAGGTATTATCTGATATATCTCGTAATGGGCAACAACTTTTGTTCATGTCAAAAGGTCAACAAAGGTCAAATAAAAGTAATATGAGTCTTTGAAGTTTCTAAAATTGAACATTTTTAAAATTGTTAAAGCTATTCCCTTTTTTAAAGTAAAGAACGCAAACAACTGTTATCTTATCACAAATTGTCCAAAATAGTGATCTATTTTCATGCAAAATTTCTAAGGTAACACTTATGGAGTTATGACAATTGCAAATATTACAGACAAAGTAAATGCACACCGAATGCGCCACGCCCACTTCAAAAATTTTAATTTGTCTGTAATGATGTGTACATTGTTAAATAATGTTCAAAATTTCAAGTGTTTACAATTATTAGATTATGAGATATTCGTAGTTAAAAGTTTTTTTTAAGGCAACGGTGACTTTCGGTAGATTATAGACACCGTGAATTTACGCACAGTTACTATAGAAGTCAATACAAAATTATCAATTTTTAAAACACGCAATTTTGATCAAAATATCAAGTGTGATATATCACCAAAAAGGAGATTTCATGCACTCAAAGAATATATAAGAATTTTTGTCGTATGTTAATTAGGTCACGTGACAGAGCTCTTCAAAGTTAAAAATCGCGATTTTCAAATGGCTGTAGAACCGGAAGTTAACGATGAAAAGTGTAGATAGATCTCGTAAGAGGCAACAACTTTTGTTCAGGTCACAAGGTCACCAAAGGTCAAAGTCACTAGATATGAGCCTTAATAGTTTTGACAATTACTGAAAACATAAAACCGGAAATAAAAAAAATACAAAGCCAAAATTCAAAAATCGGCTTCCCATGTTTTGTTAGCAATCGATTGTAGTTTACATAAACATCAAATTTACGCACATCCAATTTTACCCTGAGGCCCCATTTTGAGTTTTATAAAAATGAGTCATATCAAGATGGCGTCTTACACAATACTTCCGGGTCAAATTTTTTGATTCCAAAATCTTTACGGGGACAATTATAACTAATTGCAAAAAGAATTTTTCAAATATCTACAAAATTCCGGAAGTTGAAATTTGAAGTTTGGAGGCGAATGACGTCAAAACCGGAAGTGATATCGAAATTTTGAAAGCATATTTTTGTTCACAATCAAAATGTTTATCTACATGAACATTTTCAGATCGATCGCAATAAAATTGTGGAAGTTTAAAAAATGCTTTAAATAAAATCTCAAAAAGTCAGCGACAAAAGTCAAAATTTGAAATTTCTTAAATTGCTATCTTTTAGACATTAGTTCAAAGTAATGAACAAAACAAAAATTATGTTCAAAATAGATTCAGAATAATAGCAGGTATTGGAAAGACGTAATGAACGGTTAAAGTCCTACGTCATTTCCGGTTGGGCGAAGATGCGTCATTTTACATTTAAACAATAGCGACACGCTAAGTATAAGAGATAATGATGTCAGATAATCTGTGGTATGTGCAGTTTTGGCTGGGGAGCGTGACCAGAAGTAGACAAAAAAAAAAAAAAAAAAAATAGTCATTTCGAAAACAAAGTGTCGCTTGACACCTTCCATCTGTCCTTCCTATAGCAAGGGAAATTTTATGAAAAGTAGGTATACCCCAATTTTCGCTTGACACCAAACATCTTCCTCGGCGATTCCGACTAAAAGTGGCCGGCGAGCACCAGATTCGTCCTCGCCTTCCCCGAGAGAGGGCTGGGGATGGGAAAATTATTTTTTTTATTTTTTTTATTTTTTTTTATTTTTTTTTTTTCTTTCTTTCTTTCTTTCGGGGTCAGGGACATTTGGTGCGGGGACGGAGTTGGAGTCTCAACTTTACTCCATACACAAATGCGAGGAAATTTCATCCCCGCCGCGAGCTCGGTGATTCCGACTAAAAGTGGTCGGCGAGCACCAATTTCATCCTCGCCTTCCCCGAAGAAGGGCATGGGAAAAAAAAAAAAAAAAAAAAAAAAAAAAATTGGTACGGAGTGAAGTTGGACTCTCAAAAAGGTAGGTATGTCTCAACTTCGCTCCATACACAAATACCAGGAAATTTTATCCCCGCCGCGAGCACGGGGACTTCGACTAAAAGTGGTCGGAGAGCACCAATTTCGTCCTCGCCTTCCCTTCCCCGATGAAAGGGGATACGGGAAAAAACAAAAAAAAAAAAACAAAAAAAAACAAAATTTTTTTTTTTTTTTTTTTTTTTATGTGTTCGTCCGTTTCTTCATTCGTCCAGGGACATTTGGTACGGGGACGGAGTTGGAGTCTCAACTTCGCTCCATACACAAATGCGAGGAAATTTCAACCCCGCCGCGAGCACGGTGATTTCGACCAAAAGTGGTCGGCGAGCACCAGTTACGTCCTCGCCTTCCCCGAGAAAGGACAGGGAGGGGATACGAAAAAAAGTAGGTTTAGGTTAGGTTAGGTTTTTTTTTTTTTTTCTTTGTTTCGTAGTTTCTACATTCGGTACGGGGTGAAGTTAAGAGTCTCAAAAAGGTAGGTATGTCTCAACTTGGCCCCATAGGCTTACACAAATGCGAGGTGATTTCGAGCACCAATTAATTTCCTCCTTCGCCTTCTCCGAGAAAGGGCAGGGGATAGATACGATTCTTTCTTTCCTGCTTTCGAAAGACACCTGCCGAAATATACAGGTCGGACACACACCACCCCAGTCACTCGGGAAGAGCGAGGAGGGGCCTAATCGTTCTGTCGCCCGTCTCGGAAAAGCAGACGCGGACGTCGTGGGACGGGATTCCGGCTTAGAGGCGTTCAGCCGTAAGCCCCAGGACAAAGGCAAAGCCCCAATGGCAATAAACCACCAAGCACCAACGCTTTCAATCCCGGACCAACGTTCCTCTCGTACTAGTCAGTCCTACCCGCTCGTAGCCGCTCGTTCGTAAAGAGTTCCCTACCAGTAGGGTAAAACTAACCTGTCTCACGACGGTCTAAACCCAGCCCACGTTCCCTGTTGGTGGGTGAACAATCCAACACTTGGCGAATTCTGCTTCGCAATGATAGGAAGAGCCGACATCGAAGGATCAAAAAGCAACGTCGCTAAGAACGCTTGGCTGCCACAAGCCAGTTATCCCTGTGGTAACTTTTCTGACACCTCTTGCGGGAAGCAGTAAAAATAGAGCTCTCCCATCGTCGCCCTAAGGGCGACACAAAGGATCGATAGGCCTTGCTTTCACACGGATCCCTCCTACTGAAAAGCATCCTCAAGCCAGCATTTGCCCTTTCGCTCTACCAAGGGTTTCTCCCCCTTCTGAAGCTGGCCTTGGGGCGCCCGCGCTAGAGTTTCGCGGGCACACCGCCCCAGTTAAATTCAGAACTGACTCTGTCCTTGATCGCCCTCGCGAGAGACCTGGTCCCGCAGAACACCCCGCCGGCCGAAACCGACGAAGCGCCCTTAGCGCGGGGGACCCCTCGCTTAGCACCTTGCGCTCGCCGACACCGCCCCGAATGCAGCCGCTCTCGTGGTCCTCATCGAGTGAGTTGAACGAGGAACGCAGTAGTGGTCTTTCACTTGCGCCGTAAAGCAATCCCACCTAAGCTACACCTGCGCTCTCGCCCAACCAAGCCAATCGCGAATCAAGCTCAACAGGGTCTTCTTTCCCCGCTGACAGCCCCGGACCCGTTCCTCCGGCTGTGGCTTCGCTAGATAGTAGATAGGGACAGTGGGAATCTCGTTAATCCATTCATGCGCGTCACTAATTACATGACGAGGCATTTGGCTACCTTAAGAGAGTCATAGTTACTCCCCCCGTTTACCCGCGCTTCCGTAAATTTCTTCACCGTGACATTCAGAGCACTGGGCAGAAATCACGTCCCGTCAACACCGATCTCCGGCCTTCGAGACGCTATGTTTTTACTAAACAGTCGGATTCCCCCGGACCGTGCCAGTTCTGATCGAGCCTTTCCTCGCGCCCGTGCCGAAAACGGGGAGAGTCATCCCTACCCCGCTCCGTCCGCCTGCCCTTCCGAGGGTAGAACGTTCGCCGTTCGGTGCGCACAAGTCCAAATTAATATGCCACCTCGCGGACTCCCGCTCTATGATTCCCTCTTCCGAAGCTAGCAGCGGGTCGCTCGGCCCTCAGAGCCAATCCTTCTCCCGAAGTGCAAACTGCAAAAATAGTCATTTCGAAAACAAAGCAATAAATACAAAGCACTGTGTAAAAACAACAGTTATGAAAATAATAATATGTACACTAACACAAATCTATGAAATATACTTATGATCATGTGACTACTTAGGACTGGGCAAAAATAATCAATATATAATTTTGATTATCAAGTTTTGTAAATGATTAAAAGTCAGTTAAATTTGTTTTTTTCAACATGATTTGCTACATGGTAATTGGACAAGTCACATCAGATTATATGTGATGATTATACATTTTAGAAATTCTATGAACCAGATATCAATAAATGACAAATTTATACAACCATATACATCAATAGACGGAAATCAGAAGATTTCTTCATTAAAATTTTTGATCAGTAGCCTGTTTTCAATAATAGATTTCAATTTGGTAATTGATTCTTGACCTCAGTTTATTGTCAAAGTTGAAGTTGAAATGTTCGAAATGTAATCATATAATCTTTTCAATTTGTTAAAAAAGCTACTTAATATCAACCTCTCAAGAATCAGACCAATATCAAGTTGTGCATCTCCAGACCAATATCAAGTTGTGCATCTCCAGACCAATATCAAGTTGTGTATCTCCAAAAACCTTTTTGTGAAAAAGAATTTAGTCACTAAACACTCAAGCTGAATTAAAATCACATGAATAATGCTGTAGAGTGATTAATAATGATTAGAATTGAAGCGCAAAGAGAATCAAAATAATTGCAATGTATTGAAAATGGTAATATACAATAAGAATTACTAGTTATTTTCTAGCACTTGTTGACATAAAATCGAGAAATACTTTGAAATGAAGTTTTACAGCAAGTACACATTGTTTTGTATTTTTTGTATCAGCACAATTGGTGAAAATGAAATGATTAAGCAAACCTTTTCTCTTGAATGACATTTATAAAATGAAATCAGATAAACTGCTGCATCTTGGGATGTCACATGACTAAGCTATGATTGGATATCTGTCTTGGATTTTCCACTTGGTCTATTTATAGTATCTTATGATGCTGTACATGTATGGTGGCTGGTTAGGGACATGTTAAATGATTAAATTAAATTTTCTTATTTGTTAACCAAAATAGTTTCTCAGGAAAATAATGACATCTATTGTAAATTGTGATTATGAACAAAAAAATTGTGACTTGTAGAGTCTGTCAAGAATTGTGCCTCCTAGAGTGTTTACGAGCTAAAAATTGAACGCGTTTTCAAGAACAAGGGCAATAATTCATACTACATATTTTTCGATTCTTCTGATTTTCAATAGGGTTTATCCTTGGGTGATTACAAACACTCATACGAAGTTTCGTTAAAATCCATCAAGAATTGTGCCCTGTAGAGTGATTACGAGCTAAAAATTGAACGTGTTTTCAAGAACAAGGGCATTAATTCATACTAAATATTTTTCGATTTCGCTGATTTTCAATAGGGTTTATCCTTGGGTGATTACAAACACTCATACGAAGTTTCGTTAAAATCCATCAAGAATTGTGCCCTGTAGAGTGATTACGAGCTAAAAATTGAACGTGTTTTCAAGAACAAGGGCATTAATTCATACTAAATATTTTTCGATTTCGCTGATTTTCAATAGGGTTTATCCTTGGGTGATTACAAACACTCATACGAAGTTTCGTTAAAATCCATCAAGAATTGTGCCCTGTAGAGTGATTACGAGCTAAAAATTGAACGTGTTTTCAAGAACAAGGGCATTAATTCATACTAAATATTTTTTGATTTCGCTGATTTTCAATAGGGTTTATCCTTGGGTGATTACGAACACTCATAATAAGTTTCGTTAAAATCCTTCAAGAATTGTGCCTTCTAGAGTGTTTACGAGCTAAAAATTGAACACGTTTTCAATGACAAGGGCAATAATTCATACTAAATATTTTTTGATTTCGCCGATTTTCAATAGGGTTTATCCTTGGGTGATTACGAACACTCATACCAAGTTTCGTTAAAATCCTTCAAGAATTGTGCCTTCTAGAGTGTTTATGGGCTAAAAATTGAATGCGTTTTCAAGAACAAGGGCAATAATTCATACTAAATATTTTTCGATTTCGCTGATTTTCAATAGGGTTTATCCTTGGGTGATTACAAACACTCATACCAAGTTTCGTCAAAATCTGTCAAGAATTGTGCCTTCTAGAGTGTTTACAAGCTAAAAATTAACAAGGGCAATAATTCATGCTAAATATTTTTCGATTTCGCTGATTTTCAATAGGGTTTATCCTTGGGTGATTGCGAACACACATACTAAGTTTCGTTAAAATCCGTCAAGAATTGTGCCCTGTAGAGTGTTTACGAGCAATTGTGGACGGACGGACGGACCGACGGACATGGGTGACGACAATATACGCCCCCCATTTCATGTGGGCGTATAAAAACAGGCAGCAATAACCAAAATCACAGAAGACTTTTTGATGGTATCACCAATACCACTAGTAGTACAGTGATTCATTTGATGTATAATGAACTTTTGATGTCAAGTTTTATTATTTATTACCCCATTTCATGTGGGTGTATAAAAAATGTGTCAAATTTGGCTTGTAGGCACGATAGAGATAAACTAGATATTCATATAATATATTAATGAGATCTCAATCAAGTTAGAAATTGGTAATATTCGGATGATGAACTGTTTCAGAGTTATTGCCCTTGTGTGCACAGCGATGAGACATTATTCATGTTTGAATTTGATGATAACTTGATGAACTGTTTCAGGTTTTTGCCTTGACTTATACATGATTTTAAGATTATTTGAAAATTCATCATCAAGCCACTAAAGGTTTTATCATTTCTGACAGCTGGTAGTGGGTGTATGTTACCTTGCCCGGCAAGCTATTTTCTTATGATATTAGCCAAACTAATGACCTAGTTCCAGGTCAAATTTATTCATTTCAACATCATTAAGGGGACTATTCTAACTAATTGCAAAAATAATTTTTGTAATATCTGCAAAATTCCGGAAGTTGAAATTTCAACTTTACGTGATATGGAAACTTTGAATATTGATTTTAGCTCGCAATCAAAATGTCTACCTATCTTTAAGTTTTCATATCGATCGAAATAATGAAATTGATTTTTATAAAGATTTAGTATAAGGATTTTATAAATACAATCGATCGTAGAAGTTAGAAAAAATGTGAAAAAACTAAAAAAAATTGAAGCTAAAAAAGTCGGCGCTACTTCAGTTATGTACCTCATTATGATCTAAATTTTTTATCCATTAAAATACGACAGGATGATGTTCTAGAACCTATTCTTAGTATTCTCACCAAATTTCATCGCAATCGGATAATTTTTTCTGCTTTAAATCGATTTTTTTGTTCGCCATAGAAGATGTTTGAATGTCGATAAAAGGGAAACTTCAATAGTTAACCGAAAGACGGACAAAGGTAAACTTCCGAGACGATTCATAACAAAACAAACATACATAAGACCATTTCTGAGACTTTTCGTACAGACATAATATAATGGCGCAGTGTGAAAATATATTAATTTTTTTGATACTTCTTACAAACTGAATATTTGTTTCGAACAGTTTGGATGTTTCGTACCGTTTCTACAAAATTCCATGAATACTGTAAAGTACCTTACGCTACAAGTAACCGATATGAGGCCCAAACATATCACACTTCGGCATCATACCCAAATCAGATTTGATGATCGGAACTGTTTCATTTATTAATACTGTGACCCACAAACATAGAGAATGTCTCTGGAGGACTATGAGCCATCCCAGTGACACATATTGCCAGAAACAGGCTTTCAAAACCACAATATATCGTGTATAAACTGCTCACACTTCAGTATTATACCTCTACCTGAAGTGACGTTCAGAATTGTTTCAACTCTTGGCATTATAACCCAAGTAGTACCTTTCAATATGGTCGCAAGGGATTCCCCATTCCATTTCATTTCATGGGGAAAGTGCGACCATATTGAAAGGTCCAAAAAAAGACCTAAACACCCTACATTTCATAAATTCTTACACCAAAAAAGACCTAAACACCCTACATTTCATAAATTCTTACACCAAAAAAGACCTAAACACCCTACATTTCATAAATTCTTACACCAAAAAAGACCTAAACACCCTACATTTCATAAATTCTTACACGAAAAAACACCTAAACACCCTACATTTCATAAATTCCTATACTAAAAACTATTGCATGAGAGATGAAATAAATGATCACAAATATAACAAAGGTAAATTTTATGCTATAACAAATATACATACTTCCGATCAAAAAGGAGTTCATCATTCTGCTTTGCACAAAAACTCTTCAAATAACTTATATTTCTTCGATTCTTTTGGATTAGAACCAACTGAAGAGATAATGAAATTGACTAATAAAACAATCAAATGTTCTACCTTTCAAATTCAATTATCGGGACAAATGTTTTGTGGACAGCTTTCACTTTGGGTTTTACATCAGTTGAGTTTAGGAAAACAGTTTGAAGAAATTGTAATAAATTTAACTTAATAAAAATGGTGAACAAGTTTGGATTAGGTTCTTTATCTTTAGAAACTAAAAGATAGCTTGCAATGCAAGATAACATACGCCCACTGGCAGCTGTCAGAAATGATAAAACAGTCTTTAGTGACTGAAGTACGAATTTTCTCATATTGAAGAAATTATTTATGCTGAATAATTCCACAAAATTTTTTAAAATCAATATCAATAACCCAAATACAACAAACAATTAAATCACACAGCTCTAATCAACTGCAGAAAACAAATTTTGACGCGTGTTTAAAAAGTCAAGGGCAATAACTCAAAAAATTTTATCAAAAATATCTCTTGTTAGAACTTGTCCGAGATCATATCAATTCCAATGATCACACCAAGTTTCATCAAAATCGGTTGAAAACTGTAGCTTCTATTGTGCTCACAAACAAATTTTGACGCGTATTTCTTAAGTTAATGGCAATAACTCAAAAACATTTCATCGAAAATGCGTCAAGTTAGAACTTGTCCGTCCGAGATCTTATAAATTTCAATGATCACACCAAGTTTCATCAGAATCGGTTGAAAACTGTAGCTTCTATTGTGCTCACGAACAAATTTTGACGCGTTTTTACAAAGTCAAGGGCAATAACTTGAAAACCGTTCATCAAAAATGCATCAAGTTAGAACTTGTCCGAGATCTTATCAATTCCAATGATCACACCAAGTTTCATCAGAATCGGTTGAAAACTGTAGCTTCAATCCTGCTCACGAACTATTTTTAACAAATTTTGACGCGTTTTTACAAAGTCAAGGGCAATAACTCAAAAACCGTTCATTGAAAATGCGTCAAATTAAGAATCGTCCGAGATCTTATCAATTCCAATCATCACACCAAGTTTCATCAGAATCGGTTCAAAACTGTAGCGTCAATCCTGCTCACAAACTTTTTAAAAAAAATTTCAACACGTTTTAACAAAGTCAAGGGCAATAACTCAAAAACCCTTCATCGAAAATGCGTCAAGTTAGAACTTGTCCGAGATCTTATGAATTTCAATGATCACACCAAGTTTCATCAGAATCGGTTGAAAACTGTAGCGTCAATCCTGCTCACAAACTATTTTCAACAAATTTCGACGCATTTTAACAAAGTCAAAGGCAATAACTCAAAAACCGTTCATCGAAAATGCGTCAAGTTAGAACTTGTCCGAGATCTTATCAATTCCAATGATCACACCAAGTTTCATCAGAATTGGTTGAAAACTGTAGCGTCAATCCTGCTCACAAACTATTTTGAACAAATTTCGACGCATTTTAACAAAGTCAAAGGCAATAACTCAAAAACCGTTCATCGAAAATGCGTCAAATTAGAACTTGTCCGAGATCTTATCAATTCCAATGATCACACCAAGTTTCATCAGAATTGGTTGAAAACTGTAGCGTCAATCCTGCTCACGATATATTTTTAACAAATTTCAACGCGTTTTAACAAAGTCAAGGGCAATAACTCAAAAACCGTTCATCGAAAATGCGTCAAGTTAGAACTTGTCCGAGATCTTATGAATTCCAAAGATCACACCAGGTTTCAGCACAATCGGATGAAAACTGTAGCTTCAATCCTGCTCACAAACAATTTTTAACAAATTTCAAGGCATTCTGATTCAAGGGCAATATCTCAAAAACCGTTCATCGAAAATATGTCAAATTCGAACTTTACCGAGATCTTATCAATCTAAAGCATCACACCAAGTTTTATCAAAATCAGATAAAAACTGTAGTCTCTATAGTGCTCACAAGAAATGTTGACGGACGGACCGACGGACAGGACGACGACAATATACGACCACATATTCATGTGGGCGTATAAAAAACCATTTAGAAGATAAAATAAGTAATGTGAAAAGATTCTTCAAACATCAATTAAATAATAAAAATTATGTTAATGAAACTAAACTACAACAAGAGGTAAAGGGTTTGATAAGTTTTATTCAAAAACAATTGGTCAACGTAGTGAACAAAACTGAGTTACAAAATTTAATTTCATTTATATCTAAATTAGATGATAAGATTGCAAAACAAAAATGAGACATTCAACAATTAATAGATAACATTCCAGATGAAAATGAAGATACGTTTCAACAGGAATTAAATGCTCTGGAAACTAAACTTAACAGTGAATTACAAAAAGAACTAACAAATATTAAACAACAAATACAAAACTTAGATGATAGCGAAATTAAAACCTATATTCAACAACAAATACAAAATATTGATGATAGTGAAATCAAAACATATATTCAACAACAAATACAGAATATTGATGATAGTGTTAATCAACAACAGATAACCACTATTAATAACATAGTTTTAAAACAGGACAAAAATATACTCGCATTAGAAAAGTATCTCAAGAAAGAAAATAAATCATATCATTTCAATCTTCCATTTGTAACTTTGAGTTATAGACATAGCCAAGCTTCTATTACTGATAATATTGATAAATCAAAAGATTATGAATTGAAAAAATATGGATTTACAGCAAATATAAGAGTATTTTCTCCAGATTCAACCTCCCCCTATGAAATATTTGATTCTCAATTTTCTTTACGAGGAAAAATTGTAATTGAAATTATTTTTCCTATACAGGTAAAAGTTGATTCAATATTCTTCAGACAAAACTTATATTCATATAATAAATTTAACGCTCGTAAAGTTCTTCAGTTTATCAATGGTACAAAAAAGGTAGAAACTAAAGAATTAGAAATTAACGAAGAAAACAACAAGGCTAATCACTTATATGAAATTAAAACGAGTGGAAAATATATAGATAGGTTTAGAATGTTGATCATACCAGATAATGAAGAAGATGAACTTTCATTGAGTGATTTTGATATGATATTGGAGACGGAAACTTCACCATCAATGAATATCATTAAAAATCCAGAACCAGAAAAATAAGCAAGCAGTTATGACTTTTTACGAACGACAGACTTTGAATACGTAAAACTATATTTTGTTAATAAAAGTTTTTTTTTACATAAAGACGGAATTATCTATCCAGATAATTTTTTTTACCTCAATCGATATTCATAAAAGTAATCAAGGTAAACAATTTATAATATTTTCATTAATAATTGAACGTAATGATGGAACAGAAGTTGGAGGTAAATATACATGTAGACGTATAATAAGAATCAATATCGAAAAACCAAAATTTTCAGTTCATCTGAATAAGATTAATGATTCGAAAGAACAAATATCCTTAGTAACTGTAAAAGTTTTTATTATTAAACCTGAAATAATTATAACAGATCATGAAAAAATAAAGAATGCACAACTTATTGGGAAACCTATTGTTGATGTTAAACACTTTCCATCTTTTGCTTTATCAGATGTTCATTTAATTTAATTACCTAAAAAACTAGAAAGCAGACAAAACTACATGATAGAAATACAAAATGAACTGAAAGAAAAACTAAAACACTTTAACAAATGCAGAAAAACATGGAGTAGAATTGATTCTGTTTTCAAAACATTAAGCACAGTTCTAACAGTAGGGATAACGGTGGCAACAGACATAACCGATGGATTAATGCTTCCAATAATTGTCCCAACTGTATTAGCCGCGTTCACTGCCGTTCAAACTTCATCTTGTGGATTGATTACTTTAGGTTTTACATCAAAACAGAAATCTCATTATAAAAAGAAAACAGAAATTTTAAATACATATCTTAATAAATTGTTTATATTTTTCGAAAGATTGAGAGAAGATAAGAACATAACCATTGAAGAATTAGAAAAATTCAATGAAATTTTAGATAAATTTGATGTAGAAATATCATCAATAAAAGTTAGAAATTCCTAGTTAAAAATAGTTGCTTAAAAAATATGAAATTTTAGACGATGAAACATTCATATTAAATGAACTTTTTTTCAATATTATTAAGCTTATCTCTGATAAATTTGATACATTTAAAGGACAAATTGAATTAGATGGAGAGATAATTCAAGATGGAGCACACAAACAAAGCATGCAATTTGTAGGCTTTAATGCCAAAACTTTTCACATATTCTTCGCAACTGTTGATGTAAAATCGGATGCTTCTGATTGGTATTTCTCAGGAAAAATCATTTTACGTAGAAAAAATTTCAAAGAAATAAAAAGATCAAAAAAGGGTAGTGGTGTTACCCTACTCAAAAAGATAAATGAATATGGTAGCGGTATAAATTGTTATGTACCAAGCGATGGATACTGCTTTGTAAAGTGTGTAAATCACATCATGAACAAAGACTACACAAAAGAATTTCAAGATTTCATCAACAGTTTTTCAAAATCAAACAGAAAAGGAGTTGTGACAACTGCTAGAATCTGTGAATTCAATAAGAAATTTAATACTTATTTTCAAATTTATATGCCCAAACATAGACATTTTCAACCAAAGAAAGTATCCGAAGAATTAGATTGGGTATTTTACTTACATAAATCGCATTTCTGTCTCATTAGAAGAAATAACAAAACCTTAGGTATTAAAGAAATAGAAGATAATTACGATGAAAACGTATGGAGAACTTGTGGAGATGATAATGCGGTAACAGAAGTTTCACCTCTAAAACTAAATGTTTTTCCAACAATTCAAGATGATTGTTTATACACATGGGATTGCGAAACCTATAGCGAAAAAGAAACGAATAAAGCCATTCCTTATTCTTGCACGTTAATTAATTTAGAAAAATGTTAGACAGTATAAAACATAACTTTCCAGATTTAAATCCCACTGATAGTGTTCCGAAAAAGAAAACGTAGAAAAAGTTTACTCACATACACACCCTTTTATAAGATATTTTATCAGACAATCCATTAAAGGAGGAAGAGTTTCGGCAAATCGAAAATCATTTGAAACGAATAAAATGAATGAAATTTGTAATATATTAAAGGAATACACAGAACTTGAGAGTAGTAATATAATTGACTTATTTAAAGAATACAGTAAAAGTAAAAAAGAGGATAGCTTGCGCTGCAAGGTAACATACACCCACTGGCAGCTGTCAGAAATAATAAAACAGTCTTAAGTGACTAAAGTATGAATTTTCTCATATTGAAGAAATTATTTATGCTGAATAATTCCACAAAATTTTTTAAAATCAATATCAATAACCCAAATACAACAAACAATTAAATCACACAGCTCTAATCAAGGGCAAAAAACAACTTTTGACGCTTGTTTACAAAGTCAAGGGCAATAACTCAAAAAATGTTCATCAAAAATATCTCTTGTTAGAACTTGTCTGAGATCTTATCAATTGCAATGAACACACCAAGTTTCATCAGAATCGGTTGAAAACTGTAGCTTCTATTGTGCTCACAAACAAATTTTGACGCGTTTTTCGTAAGTCAATGGCATTAACTCAAAAACATTTCATCGAAAATGCGTCAAGTTAGAACTTGTCCGAGATCTTATCAATTTCAATGATCACACCAAGTTTCATCAGAATCGGTTGAAAACTGTAGCTTCTATTGTGCTCACGAACAAATTTTGACGCGTTTTTACAAAGTCAAGGGCAATAACTCAAAAACCGTTCATCGAAAATGCGTCATGTTAGAACTTGTCGGAGATCTTATAAATTCCAATGATCACACCAAGTTTCATCAGAATCGGATGAAAACTGTAGCTTCAATCCTGCTCACGAACAATTTTTAACAAATTTCAAGGCGTTCTAAGTCAAAGGCAATATCTCAAAAACCGTTCATCGAAAATATGTCAAATTCGAACTTGACCGAGATCTTATCAATCTAAAGCATCACACCAAGTTTCATCAAAATCAGATAAAAACTGTACTCTCTATAGTGCTCACAAGAAATGTTGACGGACGGACGGACCGACGGACAGAGGCGACGACAATATACGACCACATATTCATGTAGGCGTATAAAAACCGTTCATTGAAAATACGTCAAGTTAGAACTTATCCGAGATCTTATCAATTCCAATGATCACACCAAGTTTCATCAGAATCGGTTGAAAACTGTAGCTTCAATCCTGCTCACGAACTATTTTTAACAAATTTTGACGTGTTTTTACAAAGTCAAGGTCAATAACTCAAAAACCGTTCATCGAAAATGCGTCAAGTTAGAACTTGTCCGAGATATTATCAATTCCAATGATCACACCAGGTTTCATCAGAATCGGTTGAAAACTGTAGCTTCAATCCTGCTCACGAACTATTTTTAACAAATTTCAACGCGTTTTAACAAAGTCAAGGGCAATAACTCAAAAACCGTTCATCGAAAATATGTCAAATTCGAACTTGACCGAGATCTTTTCCATCTAAAGCATCACACCAAGTTTTATCAAAATCAGATAAAAACTGTAGTCTCTATAGTGCTCACAAGAAATGTTGACGGACGGACCGACGGAAAGGGACGACGACAATAAACGACATTCATGTGGGTGTATAATAAAACGGAAGTTAATTCAAAACTTAAAAAAATAAAATGTACTAAACTAATGGCCTTTGATGCTAACGATTTGTACGCTTCCGCCATGTCGGATTTAGACAGCGAATATCCAAAAGCGGAAAGTGGTAGACCATTTCTACCGAAAAAAGAAAATGAAGAATTTGTTAAAGAGTATGGAAAATCTTAATATGGTGTACTTTTGTATTTGATAAATAATTAATGATTGAATTGAATGCCACTATCCTTTTCGCAGAAAAAAAATTCGTGAGGGTGAAAAAGTGATATTTTGATGGAAAATCGATGATTTGTACAGAAAACCACGAGCCCGTTCCGGAAATATCCGAATGTACGCTAATGTATGCGTGACGTAAATTATGGACTTTACGCGGTTGTTTCTGGGAACGCTACACTGACAGATAAACAATGTGGCAGGCGTTATGTATTATAATGAAAACGATTCGTCAAGCACTCACAGTTCATCCCATTCTGAAGACGAAGAAGATGACTACGAAATGTTTGGGGGTGTGGTGGGCTACCAGTTCGAGCCAGTTAGGCGTCCTCGGGAAGGGGTGACTGACAGTGAAAGGCCAAACCAAGACGATGACACTGCCAAAATTCATGAAAATGGAGATCGATTGAGAAATAAATTTATAATGACTTGTTCGTAGCGTTCATTTTGTATTAAAAATCGCCCGCTTCAAAATATTCACATCTCCTCTCGATGAAAAACTTTACAGAATTAAAATATCTTGATTAGTCTTTGAGATATTCCATGATGAATGGGGTAAATAGTGGAGAAATATGGTCGTTTTTTGTATGAATTCTTCACACTCATTTTATAAGTGATATACAGAACAAGTCATTATGAGATTAAAACTATTTTATAACACATGTAACTTAATTATAATTTATTTTAAAGACAATAGGGAATTTTCATAACATCTTGAATTCCTACATTCCCAAATCTGAATTGGTAAAACAAACACATAGGATAGGCCTACCAATTAATGATAAAGTGAAAGTAGACCTTCTGATCAAATAATTGAAATAATATGAAATTATCTGCTCAAAATATACTTTAAATTAAGAAATGATAGTTTTAAATCATTTATGAGTTTAGTTTTCGGGGAAGGGAGGGTTTGATTCTCCCAAATGTACAGGCCTAGGGTGGAGCAGACACTTTATTTAGAAATTAGGATTAAGGGTCTTGATATTGGGTTTTCTTCTGTTCTTATTCTGATCTGAAATTAGAAAAAATAACTCGCCCGATGGGCGAGAAGTATAGTATCTGTTATGTACTGATTGTTTTTAGTTTACTATGAACAATATTATCATTTAAGTTCTTATTTTTTGAATATGCAACTATCATTTTCTGCTTATAGACATGGGGGAATTTCTCTTGAATGCTCTTATAGTGGGCATGAACTATCTTGCTTACTCGATTGCTGGTTGTATTAAACGGGACAACAAAGTGTGCTATGCCTACATTATGATGAATATTTAGTCCTATAGGTCTTGCTGTATTCAATGTCTCAATCCAATGGGCCTCCCTAGATTGACGGAATTTGGTAGTTTCATCTTCAGGCAAGTCAATTTCTATACGCTCAATTGGGATTAGGGTGAGATCGTCTATTGAATGGTCGTCGAGGTTGAAATGATTAGAAACAGGCTTGTCTTTCTTTAATTTGATGTCTGACCTATGAGCATTAAAGCGAGTTCGTAAATTATTCTTAGTTTCTCCTACATATTGTTTGGGGCATTTCTTGCATGAAATTAAATATATTACATTCGAATGTTCACATGTTAGATGTTCCTGGAGCGGGTACCTTTTATTCGTAGAGTTGCTTACAAAATAATGAGTTTCTGATATAAAGGGACATGTTTTGCATCTACTGGACAAACATGGAGCACTTCTTAAACCTGGAGGTACTTCGGCATAAAGTCTGTTTTTAGCTGCTATCTGTGCTAAGGTGGAATTTTTTATGTTTCGTAAAAATCGTTTAGAGTACCCACGCTCTTTCAGTTTTGAGAAAACAATCGTACAGGCTTGGTTTAAATCAGAAGATCTTGTACAAATTCGATGAAATCGTAAAACTTGTGACTTAATTATACCAGAAAAGGTATGTTTTGGGTAAAAGGAGCTCTTGTGATGAGTATCAGTTTCTTTGAAATACACTTTAATATCCAATTTATTTGTTTCTGCTATGGAATCTCCCTTAAAGACTGTGGTATCGAGAAAGTCTATGCTTTTGTCACTCACGTTTGCGGTTAGTTTGATAGAAGGATGGTGGTTGTTGAGAATTTCAAAGAATTCCCAAAACTGTTCGATAGAATAAGTCCAAACCATAAAAATGTCATCCAAAAAGCGTCCGTAAAAAAGTGGGTCAAATGGACAGAGGGGCAACACTTCACGTTCCCACTCTGCCATGAAAAGGTTTGCGTACGAAGGGGCGAATCGTTTGCCCATTGCTGTCCCTGAAGTTTGTAAATATGTTTTACCATTAAATGTGAAATCGTTTCGACTAAGACAAATCTCTAAAAGCTGTAGAATTGCATCGTCGGGTCTGTTTGGATCTGGGTTTCTATTAAAAGCTTTACGAACTGCCGTTAAACCAGTAGTGTTATCGATATTGGTATACATAGAAGAAACGTCGATAGAAATTAAAATAGCATTAGAGGGAACTCGAAGATTTTTTATTTTATTGACAAAATCGGTTGTGTCTTTAAGGTAGGCGCGATGTTGGCATGCTAGAGGTAGTAAGAAATGATCAATGTATTCTGACACTGCATATGACTCACTACCACAGTCAGATATAATC